GTGCCCTTCCCACACCCCGAGACCGGGCGAGCGCGCCGCCCTGGGCAGGGCGCGGGGAGGTGGCGCCGGGGGACGGGCCATGCTCTCGCTGCGGGTGGGCCTGGGCGCCAGACCAGGTGTGGGCTGCCCTCAGCAAGTTCGGGGAATGATGGGGTTTTCAGGAGAGGTAAACTGAGTCACCGGCCGCCCTTGCCTAGGGCCTTGCATCTCCGCAGAAATTCTACCTCACCTTCTGGGCAGTTGGGTTCAGGGACACTTCTCAGAAAGTTGATTTCAGAGAGGAAGGGAGAGAAATAGAAACATCAATGGGAGAGTCATCTTTGGGCTGCCTCCTGCATGCTGCACACTGGGGATCAAGCCCGCAACCCGGCATGTGCTCTGGCCGGAATCCAACTGTGAACTCCTGGTTCCCAGGTCGATGCTCAATCACTGAGCACCACCAGCCGTTGGGTTCAGGGACAATTTCTAAAATTCAAAGATATGCCCCAAACTAAAAGGCGGCTTCCAAGTGTATGTGTGTGACAGATGTGTTCCTGCCCCAGGCTCAGCACCTGCTCCTTCAGGAAGCATCCTTCATGGCTGATAGGATTTCTAGAGAATACTGTGTCAGAATATCAATGTGAGGAATCTGCAAAGATCGCATCTAGCAGCAGATGACCAGCTGAGGGTCGCCTGGCTTGCTTGTGGTTGCACAAGAATACATAATAGTAGCAGGTCCATAACTAGAAGCCACACCTTTGCCCAGCGGCCAGTTAATCGGAGGGACCACTTGAACATGCGTTCTGAATGCAGATGGCTCAGCTGCATAAAAGATGTTTGCCAGGGAAGGGGATGCCTTTGGCATTCTGCGTTGGCACTCCCACAGAGTGAGTGCTATCGTTCTTGAATGCTTCAGGTTGCTCACTGGCTATTTTCTACCATGAACAACACGGCGATGATACGATTATCTGCACAATAGCTTTACAGTCTAGTAGCCAAAAATGTTAGAGAATAGACTGTTCACTTTCAAATTAAAATGGTTTTCCCTGTAGTACCTCTGCAGACTGCCCTTTCAGCATCCGTGTAGCCCCATCACCTAACAATAGAGTAGATTTTTGCAGTCGCAGGGCTCATCTTGTTTGTTTTCCATCTCCCAGGGATCACCGTCCTTTGTTTTCTGATAACCAGTGTCTTAAGACCAGTAATGTGTTCCATGTATTTTGTTCTTTTGGTTGTTTCAGACAGGAGGGACAATTGGGCCCCTGACTCATCTCGACTGAAAGCAGAAGTCTCCAACTTTGTTTCTTGTCTTCCTGTCCAAATAGTAGTGTGAAAACACTGACTGCCCAAGTTTTCAACAGAGCATTGCCAAGTGCCAGGACGTTGTCTACATGATTCCAGTTAGTTCTCACAACCATGTTTTCTTAACCTCAGCTCCATTTGACAGCTGAAAAGTAAGGCCCAGATTTTTGCTGGTTCAGACCCCAGACAGGCCTGTCAGTTCTTCAGCCATGTGTAGCTTGTAGGCCCGAAGTTCTCAACGTCTCACTGCAGAGTTGTTAAGGGAGTTGCCTGGCCACAGAGCATCTTTGGTTCCTTACTCCTTGAAGAAAAGTTCACACTTGCAGCCTGGCTTTAGAGGTGTCTATGCCCATATCTGCCTGTGTGCTGGCCATGTCAGGCACGCATATGTGCCACCAGACAGATGAGACAGGCAGGGAGATGGCCTCCAGGTAGGGAAGCAGAGAGGTGCCAGTGGCCAGAGTCGCCTGGGCTTTCAGATCCCAAGTCCAGGCCTCCTTCCTCAGATTCAGGATCACACATGGCTGGCAGGGAGGTGACAATGAGGTCCATTACCCAGGGGTCAAGGTGCTCAGCCCTCACCAAATTTGAAGATTCTGTGATTCTAGCTCTCTCCTCTCCTGTGGGTCAGCTTCTTAGACCACTTTCTAAGAAACTCTTAGCTTCCAGATATAATACTTCAGAAAACATGAGTCTTTACTTACTGATATCCTTCCATGAAATCAGCAAGTCTGCCACAGTCCTTGGTACCCAGCATGATCAAGGACCTGGGGCACAGCCCAGCCAGAACCAAGGACCTCAATGGCTGGTTTGGAAGAAGAACCATGCGAGGTGGACTGACTGAGAGCCCCAGCTCTAAGATGCTGTATGACCAGGGAAGTGACCTTCCCCTTGAGAAATGAATTTCCACAAGGAGGGGCAGGGGTGGGAGTGGTGGTATCAGATGACATCAAAGATCCCTTCCGGCTATGATGTTCTGTCATTCTCCATTTCAGGAGGGATCCACAGTTGTGGGAGAAAGGTGGAAGTTGAAGGAAAGGCAGGGGGAATCAGGATGATTTGGTATCCAATGCGTGTTCATTTATTTTACACTTACAAAAGAAATCACCCACCCTCTGCCCTATCCCCCCGAAACAGTCTCTTTTTACAAACATTTAAAAATTAAAACCAAATGAAGATAGACAAGTTAATTTCAGTACAATTATTTTTCAATGTAGCTGTCATAATTAGAGTTTAAATTTTTTCCTACAAGTAACCAATGTTCAAGTGACTTATAGGGAAATCCTGATTATTGGCCAAAAGGAAAATTCCGTATTACAAGTTAGCAAATTCTAGTACAAAAATAGTCTTTGTGTTGGAATAGTCTTTCCTTTTACATAAGTCTCGGTCAGTCTACTGACTGCATAATACATCTCAGGGCTCTCTCTTCACAAATGGCTCATTCGTCATAGCTGAAGCAGCACGGCACCTGCAGTGGCAGGGGCTAGTGTCCACCTCTGGACCGTGCTGAGGACGGTCGATCTGGGTGTGCCTCGCTGATCCCAGGGTAGCAGGGCGGAGCCCCAGCCCCTGCTCGGCGTGGGGGTCCTGGAGAGAGGGACGAGTTGCCAGCAGAGCTGCCTCCTTCCACGGGAGCAGCAACAGACCACCTCCTGCCAGTGTCTCCTTGTCCTACTATAGCCCGACAAGGTGAGAGGTGGCCCTGCCCTGGCTGCAGTTGGGGCAGATGTGGGCAGGCTACTTGTCCCTTAGGATGTCGAGCTGTTCCTGACATTCGGTGAAGAGACGCTGGAAGCGGAGGTTCTGCCCGATGACTGGCAGCAGTTCCTTCAGTAGCTCCCTCTTCCGTAGACCCTGTGGGCACAGAAATGATGGCTCAGTGCAAGTGTCAGTGAGGAGACCTAGACTGTGGGTGGCTTCCTGGCCTAACAGAGACCCTTGTGCCTGCCCATCTGATACCTAGGGACCCCTTGGAGAAACCAGAGATGGATGAGAAAAATTTCTCTGCATGCTAAGAAGCCCTGGGAGAGCTGAAAGGCTGACCTGGGTGTGTGGGGTGGGTGGCAGGGTTCAGGGGAAGGACACAGTGCAAGGATACTACAGAGAAAACCAGGGTGGGTCTGTGCCCCTTAAGTCTGCGGGCACAGTCACCACTAGCCTTCAACTGCACTGTTCAGTGACCACAGTAGCTTGGCCTTCCAGAGCAGGATGCAAGTAGAATATCAGGATAGAGGGACAGGTAGATGGCCACCTGAGGGGGCTGCTCCCTCATGCATATGCCCTCCAGGGGTCTGAGTTCAAGCCCAGGGGGGAGGTGGCACCTGGGAGTCAATGACTGGCTTTGGTTTTACAGTCTTGGGAGACGGTCTGCCCTTGGCTCTTGCCCACATCTCCTCCATGCCTGGGTGCACTGGCACCAAGGTCTGCCTGGACCCTTTGCAACATGCACTGCCAGGCAGGGTCTCCACTCTACAGAACCCTGAGGAGCACAGCTGCTGCAAAGGGAAAACCATTAACCAAAAATATTGACCATTCGAAGAGAAGGTCCAAATGTTAAAGCAGCATGGTAACCACACAAAGAATTACAGAAAAGAACAAAGTGTAGGGATTACATTTGAGCAATTCAATGGCTAAAGGAGATGGAATTAGCAGGAGAATGGGCCCTGCTGAAGACTGAGTCAAGTGGGTCAGATGGAAGAGCAACCAGTGCCCGAGCAGGGAGGCATGCAGAGGGGAAACTGTAAGGGAAGAGACTGTAAGATAAAGTACGGGCAGATGAAGTATGGAAATGGGCCCAACATCTACAAGAGTCCCACAGGAGAGAGACACAAAAGAGAGACGGAAATATTTGAAGAAATAATATGGATAGATTTCACACAATTCAAGAAAAAGGAACTGCCTTAGGTTGAAAGGCTTCATTGAGTGCTGATGAAAATATGAAAAAAAAAGGTATTTTAGATACATTAGAATGAAATACACAGAATCTATAGATATCAAACAAAAAAATTCTGAAAAGTTCTAAAAAACAAGAGCATATCACCTACAAAGGAAGAGATACCAAGAGGCACAATAAAGTAGTATTTTATTTATTTATTTATTTTTAAAAATATATTTTATTGATTTTTTACAGAGAGGAAGGGAGAGAGATAGAGAGTTAGAAACATCGATGAGAGAGAGACATCGACCAGCTGCCTCCTGCACATCTCCTACTGGGGATGTGCCCGCAACCCAGGTACATGCCCTTGACCGGAATCGAACCCGGGACCCCTCAGTCCGCAGGCCGACGCTCTATCCACTGAGCCAAACTGGTTTCGGCTAAAGTAGTATTTTAAATATACCGGGGAAAAACTCATAATCTACTTTTTCATCCAGCCAAGCAGTTATTCACATAAGAGGATGTAATAAAAAATAATGTTTACCACAGTAAAGATCCACCCTGAAAATGTTCTAGAAGGTACTCAAAAATAAGAAGAAGTAAATAGAGATGATGCTAAAAGAGATATAAAAGTAATGTCATCAACCTCTTGCTAACGTTTATGTTGGTCTTAAAAAAAAGTAAACAAAAAATATAAATTATTTCAATTTGTGATTAATAAATCCTCAGCTTGTCAGATTAAACAGAAGCCAGACACATGATGTTGGCAAAAAACACATAAACATGGATACAGAAATGTTAAAAGTTAAAGATGGAGAAAAATTATGTTAGTAAATAAAAGTGTGTGTTTTACAATTATCAAAGTAGAGTTTGAAACGAAAACATCTTTGGAAAAAGAGAAAGTCAGGAGAGAGGGACAAAACTACGCTTACAGGGAGATTTTAATACACACTCCATTAGGGATGTGTCCAGAAAGGTAATTCAGGTAATCCAAATGGAACATTCTGGAAACATGACCATTAGGACATTTAAGGCACTCAGAACTAGAGAACACAAGTTCTTCTTTGGCACACATGGAAATATGAAAAATTGCTCTAAAGCAAACCTCAACAAAATAACAGATCTCATGTAGATTGTGAATTGGCTTGGGCCAAATCCATCCTACCTATTTAGTGAATAATTTTATCAAAATGCAGACATACCTACCTATTTGTTTACACATTATGCTACAATGCAGAGTTGAGTAGTTGTAAGTGATCTTATGGATTTGCAAAGCCTGAAATGTTTATTCTCTGGTCTCTAATAAAAAAGTTTGGGCTTGGCTGGTGTAGCTCTGTGGCTGAGCTTCAACCTATGAACCAGGAAGTCAAGGTTCAATTCCTGGTCAGGGCACATGTCTGGGTTGTGGGCTTCATCCCCAGTGTCGGGTGTTCAGGAGGCAGCTGATGGCAATTCTCTTTCATCATTGATGTTTCTATCTCTCTCTTCCTCTTTGTTTATTTATTTATTTTTTTAAATATATTTTATTGATTTTTTTACAGAGAGGAAGGGAGAGAGATAGAAAGTTAGAAACATCGATGAGAGAGAGACATCGATCAGCTGCCTCCTGCACATCCCCTATTGGGGATGTGCCTGCAACCCAGGTACATGCCCTTGACCGGAATCGAACCTGGGACCTTTCAGTCCGCAGGCCGACGCTCTATCCACTGAGCCAAACCGGTTTCGGCCTCTCTCTTCCTCTTTGAAATCAATTAAAAAAAATCACCAAGAAATTAAAAAAACAAGAAAAAAATTTAAATTAAAACCTGAAAAACTCTAAGAAAATGAAACCGGTTTGGCTCAATGGATAGAGCGTCGGCCTGTGGACTGAAAGGTCCCAGGTTCGATTCTGGTCGAGGGCATGTACCTTGGTTGTGGGTACATCCCCAGTGGGGGGTATGCAGGAGGCAGCTGACTGATGTTTCTCTCTCATCGATGTGTCTAACTCTCTATCCCTCTCCTTCCTCTCTGTAAAAAATCAATAAAATATATTTAAAAAACAGAAAATGAAAGGATATCAAACTGCTATTAGCAAAGTAAAAATTTCAGATGGTCTGGTCAAGCTATAAGAGGATCTACCTTCTGGCCTGAAGGCTGGTTTCAATACCAACAGCCATCAAGTATCATCTCCTACCCAGGGCTCAGTAATAGGTGATGCTCCTCACTGTTTCAGGCAGCAGCCTGGAAACAGTTCATCACCCTCTCTCTGGCCAATGACACAGGTCCTACAATAAAGACCTTTGCAGAGGGGCTTCCAATAGCAGGCCCTGGCTGAAGAGACAGTGGTGAGCACAGAGCTCAGGCACCTGAAGGATGGCTGCTTAGTGCAACCCTCTGTTTCCACCTCCCTCCTATGCACACTGAGTCATGATCCTTGAGGGAAAGAAGCCTGGATCTTTGGAGGCATACTAGCAGCTCATATCACAAAGAGTAATTTCCCTAATATATAAGAATTCCCACAAAGCAATTTCTAGAAATTTTGTCATGGATTTGCCCACGCACTATGAGCAGACCAGCTGTTTTAAGCAGTTTACAGGAAAAGCAAGTGGGACCACACTGACAGTGCTTCCTAGGAAGGAAGCCACAGACTCTCCCGGGCAAATCCCTAATAAGGCATCCTACTTAGAGACAGCAAAAACCACCAGCCGGGAGGAGGCAGGGAGAGTGCATGGCCATGAATCAATGGCCTGTCTGTGCTCCCTTTTACCTGCACCACACTAGCCTAGAAGGCTTACCTTCAGGCGGAGACAGAGAACTGTTACGTAGAGCTCTTGCTGACATTTTGCCCTAAGGCTCCCAGAGTGAAGCCCCACAGGAGTGGTTGGTTGGGCACTGGCCTACCTGTCTCCCACCTCAGCAGATAGCCCATCAGGCTGCCTAGAGGTGAGTGTTCTTATAGGGAATTCAGAAAAACCTTTCCCACTGAGAAAGGGGACAAAGCTGGATAAAGAGAAACAGACCTCAGAGAGCTCAAGTGCTAGTGGATTGAGCTGGAGTGTGGAGAAGGTAGAAATCCAGAGAGACCTTGGGACCACTTATTTTTTTATTTTATTTTAATTGCTTTCAGAGAAGAAGGGAGAGGGAGAGAGAGAGAGAGAGAAACATCAATGATGAGAATCATTGATTGGTTGCCTCCTGCACAGTTCACATTGGGGATTGAGCCCACAACCCAGGCATGTGCCCCAACCGGGAATCGAACCTGGGACCCTTCAGTCCGCAGGCCAACGCTCTATCCATTGAGCCAAACTGGCTAGGGCTTGTGAACACTCATTGATGAGGAAGAGGCTGAGCAGAGCATCTATTAGACTTGAGGGCTTAGGGGGACCAAAGCAGGGGCATAAGACTCATGAAAAGTGGGGTCCCTGATAAATCACCCTTCCTTTGTGCTAGTCTCCAAAGAAATGCACTCTAGAATAAGGGTAGACTGGTAGTAAACCAGTCTGTGTAATAATTAGTACCCAGCTTTGAGTCCCCAGGTAGCCCAGAAGACTTCAATCCCTGAATTGGTTGAGGGAGCCTTGTAGGGCTAGGGCCAAGAGCAAATAAAAGTGCTCTGTTGAAGAAGGTAACATTACTGAGGCTTCAAAACACTTCTAGAAATAATCATTCAAATACCAAGTCTAGTAGACAGTCAAAACCAACCAGGCACATAAGGAGGTAAGACAATATAAATGAGAACTAGCAGAAATATTTATAGGAAATAGAAACAGATCCATAAGGGCTCCTCATAGTAGAACGATGCTCAAGAAGATAAAAGACTAAATTGAAAATATGGGGAGAACTGAAACTATAAAAATAATGTAACAGATTCCAAAAAGAGGATATTATATTTCTCATGATGGGGAAAATGGAATATAATCAAAGAGAACCTAGGAAAATACACAGAATGAATGAAAGACATAGACTTAGAGCTTTGTGAAACTTCAAAACACCAAGTAAGGGTCGATCCCAAAATAATTTACAAAACAATGGAAATCAGATTCCTGGCAGTTTTTAGCAACAACAGTGGATGATAAAAGTCTGTGGTACAGCATAATATCTTCAAAGCTCTAAGATTTTTTTAGCCAACCAAATTAAGATCTATTATAACAATAAAAAGGGAGCCCTAGGTGGTTTGGCACAGTGGGTAGAGTGTTGGCCTGTGGACTGAAAGGTCCTGGGTTCGAATCCAGTCAAGGGCACATGCCTGGGTTGTGGGCTTGATCCCCAGTGAGGGGCATGCAGGAGGCAGCTGATCAATGGTTCTTTCTCAATTTTGGTATTTATCTCTCTCTCCCTCTCCCCTCCTCTCTGAAATCAATAAAAAAATATTATTTAAAAAAGGGAATAAAAAGTCGAGGAGGCCAAGTATACACCAGGTCCTTTAGAACCTCGTGAGACTGACTCTCCCACTGCCATTCTGCTCAGCTGTTCCTCTTATGCTGCAAGATGCCCAACCCCCAACCTCAGGGCCTTTATACTTGCTGTTCCCTCCGCCTGGATATTCTTTCCCCAAATATCTGTGGGCTTCATCTCTCATCTTTTCCGATTTCTGCTCAGTCAATTAGGTCTTCCTTGATCACCCAATACATAAAATTGCATCCTGCCAGTACTCCCTACCCCCTGCCCTATATATATTTTTTCCATGGCACCCACCCCCACCCAACACTTTGAATGTACGTGTTCACTTGTTTTGAATCTGCCTCTCTCCACAAGAATGAAGATCATAAAGGTGGGGCCTCTGTCAGCCTTAGTCACTGCTGCCTGCCCTTTGCCTAGACCAGCCGTGGGCAAACTACGGCCCGTTTGAAATGAATAAAACTATTGAAAAAAAAGACCGTACCCTTTTATGTATCGATGTTTACTTTGAATTTATATTAGTTCACACAAACACTCCATCCATGCTTTTGTTCCGGCCCTCCAGTCCAGTTTAAGAACCCATTGTGGCCCTCGAGTCAAAACGTTTGCCCACCCCTGGTCTAGACTATGCCTGGCCAGAGAAGGTGCTCCATCAGTCTTTGCTCAGTGACTGAATGAAGCACTGAAACTAACTCTTGGACCCACAACTTCTCCCATTCCTCACCAACCTGCTCCTTTTTCAATTCAATCAATACACTAGCCAAAAGAACCTTGAGCTGTCCACACATTCATTTTTTCTCTTTTCCTCACCTACTCCATATCCAACCACCCAAACACCAAGTCTTTTTTTGTTCTGCCTCCAAAACACATCTAGAATCTGTTTTCTTTTCCCTCTTGATAGCCATCATATTGATCCAAGTCACCTGCATCTATTGCCAGAACTTTTGAAAAAACAAAATAAAAAAACCCCACAAAAAACAAGCCCTGATCAGTTTTCTTTTCTTTTTTATTATTATTTTTTTTTATATTTTATTTTTTACAGAGAGGAAGGGAGAGAGATAGAGAGTTAAAAACATCGATGAGAGAGAAACATCGATTAGCTGCCTCCTGCACATCTCCTACTGGAGATGTGCCCGCAACCCAGGTACATGCCCTTGACCGGTATCGAACCTGGGACCCATCAATGATGAGAGAGAACCATTGACTGGCTGCCTCCTGCACACCCCACACTGGGGATGAAGCCTACAACCCAGGCACGTGCCCTGACTGGGAATTGAACTGTGATGACTTCCTGGTTCATAGGTCAATGCTCAACCACTGAGTCACGCTGTCAGGCCTGACCAGTTTTCTTTGTTAGTTCATGTCACCTCTGCTGATTGTCTTCTATGTCAGCTTACATCACATCTGTGTAAAATCCTTCAGTAACTTCCGCTGCCTAGACGAAAACTCTGGATCTTCATAAGCCTTCCATGATCTGCTTCCTGCTCAGCTCTTTTGCCTAATCTCTTATCACCCTCTCTTCTGCCTATTATGTCCCAGTCACAGTGGCCTCGATGTACCAAGCCCTCTTTGCACGTACTACCACCTCCACCAGGAAACTCTCCCCAGGGCTCTGCAGAGCTGGCTCATCCTCAAAGTCCTCTTCTGAGTCTTCCCTGGTCACCCTTCCCCAGGCATGCTTGTCTTACTGATCTGCTCATTTCCTTCTAAGCATAATCCATGTCTAAACCTTTCTTGTAGACTAAATTGCCCCCTGGCTTATATCTGCCTCCCTACCAGATTGCAAGCTCCGTGAGGGCAGGGAAGGATCTTTCACCTTATTCCTGAACAAACCCACAGCCCTGCGCAGGCAGCTTTCCTCAGCCCGAGTGCGTGTCTGAACCCCCGTGAGGCTTCATGCTGAGGGCCCAACTCTTGCTGGGTTGTGCAGTGCAGGCATCTCACCTGCTCACTGATGCTGGGATCCAAGGCATTGTGCTATACACATCTACTGAGGAAGAATTCCAAAGCACTTTGGCTTACTTTTTCAATTTCCACCTTCACTTTTCAAGAGAATTCTTGTGGCAAGAATGAAAGAAGCACCTACCACTACCGTTGACTCCCACTGGCTTCCAGTGGAGTAGTGAACCGGACCCAGTAAGTCCTTGCATATTTCTCGGAGTCGGTATTCAAACCCTAATTACAGAAAAAAAAAAAAGAAAAGAACAAAAACAAAACAAAACAAAACAGAAATAGGAACACATTACAAAAAGAAATAAAAAATCAAGAATATGCTAAGTTGTTGGGTATATCAAAACAGACTGAACAAAGGCTTATTGTGTTGCCTATTATGGGCAAAATGCCTCTTGCATGCCTCTCAGTTTGGGGCACTGAGACTCACAATGACAGATTCTCACTCACTCACCTACTCCCTTGACAATGCATGCAGTGGCCCCTCTGTGCTGGGCCAACGAGAAAAAATGAGATGTGGCCAGTTTTGGGATGGACCCCCCAAGGTTATGGGAATTTGTAGAAGGAGGGGAGAGGGCTAGTCAGATTTGAGAGAAGACATCTTGGCAGCCAGTGTGAGAGGAGCTCAGCAGGGTCAGCAGGTAAGAGATGGCGAGGGGATGAGTTTAGATTGAGGAGGTGGTGACTAAGCAGAGACAGGAGAAGCAGGCAAGGGCCTATCAAGTCAAGGGTTATGGGCACAGCCAAGTGGTGTGCCAGAAATGCCAGAGGCAGGTCTGGAGTCTGTAGGCACTGGGGGCAGCTGAAGCCACAGGAAATGGATGAAATCACCCAAAGATGAGAGTGGAAATAAGAGGATGAAGCTGGAATCTGAGGAATTTCAAGGAAAGGGGTCTCCTTTTAAAACTTGAGTTCTCCTTTTATAGTTAGGAAGCAAGGGATAAAGAGAGGAGGTGACTTACGTATGGACACTGGAACAGACACGTGAAAGATAAAGAGGATCAAGTGGCAGAAGTGATTTCACAAAGGGGTGCAGGCCCCAGAGGAGGCAGTGGCTTTATGCAGGGCATCAGGGTGAGTCCTGATCAACAGCCAGGATGAAGGAAACCGGAGCCAGAGGAGGCATTTCCCCAGCAGAATGGGGTGTGAGGAGCATCCCAGAAAAGGGGGGAGGGCTTGCAAAGACTGAATATTTAGAAATGTCAGTGACCACACATGCTGGGCGGCCACACAGACTGGAGAGTAAATATCAAACTCATTCCTGGAGTCTGCTGGGGAAGGGAGAGGGGCTTCAGTTGGTCAGTCATGCTTGTTCTCAGAGGTGTGTGTGTGTGTGTGTGAGTATAATATGTATTTATTAGAGGCCCGGTGCACAACATTCATGCACTGGGGGGTGGGAGGGGTGTTCCTCAGCTCGGCCTGTGCCTTTTAGCAGTCCAGGAGCCCTCAGGGGATGTCTGTCTGACAAGCCGTCAGTCGGACATCCTTAGCGCTGAGCGTCTGCCCTCTGGTGGTCAGTGAACGTCATAGCAACCAGTCGTTCTGCCGTCTGGTCAATTTGCATATTATCCTTTTATTATATAGGATTATATAGGATTGCAAGGTATATAGAACATGTAGTTGCATCAGAGGAAACATGATATACAAATTCTGGGAATAAAGTTTGTAGAGGTTTGACCTTTTTTTTCTGTCCTTTCTAGACTTCATTTTTACCCTCTAAATCATAAACAAAATGGAGAGGGTGATGTCAAAAGCAAAGCAAGGCCAGGAGAGGCTGTGGGGGAGGCTGCTCAGTAAACTTCATGGTGACACAGGGAGAACTTAGGGAGGGCCAGTTCCCAGGCCACTTCTCTGGAGGTCATGTTCAAGCAGAAGGAAGACTGGTAAGGCGGACTCCATGCTTGCCTAGCAGAGAGGATGAGAGGCTTTGGGCGGTCACCCTAAGAACAGGATGGTCACTTCCTGTAACACACCTTGCTTTCTGCTGAACAACAGGGCAAGTGTGGGTGGGCATATACTGGGAAGGAGATGCAGGTGCTGAGAGCCCTGGCAGGGAAAGCTAGGCTGCAGGGACAAGGGGAGGTGCTGGACAGCAGGCCAGCCCTTCCAGGGCATGTGGGGGCTCAGAAAAGGAAGAGGAGCGCAAGCACATTGAATGCTGCAAGACACCCTCCCTGGGGTCACTGACCACTGATGCTCCAAGGGTGTGAGGGAAGAACAGAAGTCTGAGCATCACATTTGCATGTCTTTCCACATATCCTCTGCCCTCACCCTCTCAGCTGCTAATCTTGCTGGCCCTCAGGGAACACTCCCTTCAGGGGCTGGGAGCCTGTAATGGGCTGGATGCCTGTTGAGCTGGCCTGATCACAGCTCAGGCTAGGAGATGGGGGTGGGGAGGCTGAGGGTGCATCATGTTGACAGGGAACTGGAGGCTAGGGCCTCTTGGATGACCATGGCAGACTGGGAGAAAGGAATGTAAGGAGCCCTAGGCCACTGTACCTCTTCCCTGACTCACAGGCGTTTAGGAGGGTTGTGTTGGGACAGGGATTGAGCTGGGCCCAGGAGAATGGAGGAACCACTAGGGACCTCACCTTCGTTCACAAGGTACCGTGCGTAGAGGAGGAGCCAATGGCGATACTCATGGCTGGACTGCAGGGTGAGTGCTGCTGCCACCTGGTTTTCTAGGTAGGCCAGAGTCGTCTCCTGCTGCACCACGTGAGGCACGGAGAAAAGCCGGGCTGCCTGCCTCCCTGAGCTGCAGAAACACATCATGAGGCAGTGGGTACTGTGTGGGCAGGAGGCTGCCACCATGCACCCCAGGATACCAGCAAGAAGCCAGCAGAGGGGCAGATGTCAGGCTCCACACTGGCCTACCCATCCCCATGTCTCAGCTGCAGATGTCCTGGATGCTCTGGCACCCCAGGTGTACCCCACTCAGTACCTCCCATTTAGATCCCTGAGGTGACAGACCCCCAACCAAAATACATGAGTGCCCATGACCCGTGGCACCTCAAACTGCATCTGGGCCCTGAAGTAACAGGGCTTGCATCCAGCACCCTGAGAAATTATATGATGTGGGCCCCAAACTCTTGGCACCTACAGTCTGCCTGTGCTGAGCAGCAGCTGAGCACAGGGGACAGCAATCAGAGAGCTGGCCTGCGTGGGACTGTACTTGCACAACCCAGTCACCTCTCCCGGCACTTGGGTTACCTACGTGGAGGCACGGCCCTGAACTATGGCTAAGGGTCCCGAGCACAGCATGGCGTCCTGGGGAGGCAGGCTGCTCCTGAAGTCCGCACACTGGGCCAGGGAGTCTTGCTTGTCAGAAACCAGGTTCCTGGGGAGGTAAAGGCAGGAGCTGAGCTCAGAAAAACCAGGAGGTCCAGCAGGGTAGGCTGGCAGTGAGGCTACCAAGGAGCAAGCACCACAGACCTGTTACCAGAACACCAGCAAAGGCTGAGGGTCATTGCATTCTCACCATAGGTCTCTCACAGACAGCTTTCATTACAAGGGAACATTAATGACAGGGAAGGTCACTGACAAGGCTCCTGGGGCCAGGAGGCCTACGTGTGAAGTGGTCTAGTCCACGTGGCCCAGCCCTTCGAAACCTCGAGGAATGCCAGCATCCAGCCTTCATGTGCTTCCACAGCATCCGAGGCAGTCAGCTCTTTACCTTCTCCACACCCTTTACATCTTTGTGAAAACTTTCTTTACGCACTTTAAAGACAGCCAGGTGCCTTTGTAAACATGCCCAAAATACAAAGGGCCAACATTTTCCTTCTTAAATACCCGGCTTGTTTCCATTATTACAGTAATTACATAATAATACACAACATCTTGCAATATGGAAGAGCAGGCAGCGGGGAGTTTCTTCTTCTTCTTCTTCTTTTTTTTTTTAACTCAGGAAAGAGATCTCAGTATGGGATGAATTTGTGCCTGGCAACTCTGAACAGAAAAATGCCACAAGAACTTGGGTTTGAGGGACCAAAAGGTGCAGGCAGAAGAATTTCTCAGAGTGGCTGGTATATAATGCACACAGTTTACATGTTGGGGTTGAGATCTCTGATGTAGAAAGGATTTTACAAATATAAAAATGGGCTCCAAATTCCAAATGGGTGGAGGAAAGGTACAGACCACCGCATCTGCTGATGGTGCAACCTTACTAATTTAAAGTCGAAACCGCTACTGGACTTCAAAATCTGCTATGTGCTGGCGAAGGTATTGTGAAGCTGACTCACCGACACTGATGATGGCTAAGGAAGCCAGGCTGGAAATACATATTTGCAACCATAAGAACTTTCAAATGCCTATTCCAGACAAAGTGGTCTCAGCAGACAAAGCAAAGCACCCCTGCACAAGGGCTCTGAGAGCAGAGAGGCTGTGGGCCTCCAGCCTCTAATAGGGACAGTAGGGCCTATGCAGGTGGGTTTGAGTTCTGTCTCCTCCAGCAGAGAGGAGACCAAGCGGTCATTGTGACCTCTACTCCAGGGCCCAACTCCCAGGAAAAGCCAAGCCGGGCAGGCCTGAGGAGCAAGTACCACATGACCTGTTACCACCCGGGACAGACACCTCCTCTGGGGCAGGGCCAGGGAAGGGTGGCTTGCTTACCATGTAGAAAGTGATGGATTAAAGCAGTAGGCCTTTCCATCGGACAGGTTCATCACTGGGATTCCATGCTGTGTAAGCAAGATCTGTGACACCGTCATATCACTTCCTGGGGAGACACCATAAGAATGGATTCTGGGTGTGTTCTGATTAGCAAGTGCTTGCACATGCACCGAGGGGAATCTGAACATGGCACCCAGTCCCAGAAACAGGCGCCTTAACACTGACTCAGGGAGTCTCTTCCCTGTGAGTGCTGTTTTCACCACCACCCACAGGTTTTTGTCACCACACAGGGAGCCAATGAAATGCGCCCCAGAGAGGGTGCATCTCCCTGCAACATAACTGTGACCCCTTGTCACACTGAGTACCTTGGGCTGAGCCAGGAGACTGGCTCTTGCTCTCTGTCTAGGCCAGTGATGGTGAACCTTTTAAGCTCGGCGTGTCAGCATTTTGAAAAACCCTAACTTAACTCTGGTGCCGTGTAACATATAGAAATTTTTTGATATTTGCAACCATAGTAAAACAAAGACTTATATTTTTGATATTTATTTTATATATTTAAATGCCGTGCTCGCTTCGGCAGCACATATACTATATATTTAAATGCCATTTAACAGCCGAACCGGTTTGGCTCAGTGGATAGAGCGTCAGCTTGCGGACTGAAAGGTCCCAGGTTCGATTCCGGTCAAGGGCATGTACCTGGGTTGCGGGCACATCCCCAGTAGGAGATGTGCAGGAGGCGGCTGATCGAAGTTTCTCTCCCATCGATGTTTCTAACTCTCTATCTCTCTCCCTTCCTCTCTGTAAAAAATCAATAAAATATATTTAAAAAAAAATAAAAAATAAATAAATGCCATTTAACAAAGAAAAATCAACCAAAAAAATGAGTTTGAGTGTCATAGGTTCGCCATCACTGGTCTAGGCTGAGTGGAGCTTGGGACTTGAGCTTCCCTGTCCCCTCCCTCATCAGGGCACCAGGGGCAGCCCATCGCCGGTTACCTGCCAGGATAGAATTCAGAGATTCTTCTTTTACCACAACCACCTGTCTGTGAACATCCCTAGGAGGGAGATAAGAAGCAGTTTACTCTCCAATCTGAGTGAATGCCTCAAAGTGCGCCGCAGTGCTCAGACCCCTGCTCTGTGGTCTCTGCACACCCTGCCCCGGCCTCCCCGAGAGGAGCTCGGCCACAAGAGGCTTCTGCTCCCCATGAGCCAGGTTACTTTCTCCACACGAGGCTATAGCAGAGGGCGCAGGCAACAGAGCTGTGGGGCTCGTCGCTAATGCCATACCCACTTTGGGAGAAGCGTGGTCACACTGTGGCAGCTGAGATCCCATTCTGATGAACCCACACATTGTGTTTTGGACGCTGGCACATTGTGTTTTGTCATGTGGTTTGCTCTTATAGAAGTGGTAGCAGGGGTAGGCAGCCTGCCCCACTTCCGCTTGCATACCTGCCCCCTCCCCCACACGTACACACACATGTGCGGTGGCCATCACAAGCAGTGTCCAACTGCTTGGGTCTCTTTGCCTGTAAAGACCCCCATGCCAGCAGGGCCCAAGGGCATGTCTGCCAGGCGGCTTCCTCCACTGCCTCCCCTGTTCCTGCAGTGAAGAGGAACCTATACAGCCCTATCCTGCCCTGCCTGGAGCCCACCTCACCCCAGGCCTGTCTCTCACCAGACAGATAACGTGGCCGCAGCAGTGAGCGCCATGACGTAGGAGCCTGTGCAATGCAACGTGGAGATTGGGGATGACAGGAGGATGGGAGGGAGGAGGCGGCGACCACAGGTGGAGAACACTGACAGCATCCTCTTTTCACAGGCGACACATACCACATCACTGAGAAGGCAGAGAGGGGATAGGTGTCATGATGATCAGGTGCTGTGGCAGAGGTAGGAGCCCCAAGGCACAGAGCCTTCCTTCTACCTGGGCCTGAGCCTGAGTGGGTGCAGCAGCAGGAGAGGCAGGGAGAGGGCCAGCCAGTAGGACTGGGGGAGGGCGGGACAGCAGGGCTGACAGAACTGAGATCTCTCATTAGAGACTATGTTCTTCTCCCCCACTAGGCTGCTCAAGCTTTTCCGAATTCACCCTAATGTTAACTTGTGACTGGGGGTACTTCAGAGGACCACTGATGGTGCCCCAGAAAACACACCTCCCTTGTCATATGAGGCCACATAGCGTCTACTCAACAGTCTACTGGCTACAACTAGCTGGACTAGTCCTGAGAAGATCTCTGCCGAGAAAGGCCAGAAGTGTGGGAACAAGGGAGTGTGTCTCCCTAAGGGACGCCAGCTGTGTGCTCAGAAAGCCTTTCTGGCTAGGGTGGGGGGGTAAATACAGGGACAGCTTCTAAGGATAGAGGCCCAGAAGTCCATTGTGAGGCCCTGGGTGACTAACACTGAATTAAGGTCTCCCCTCAAAGTGCAGAATCTGAAAGGGGCGGGCGGGGAACTCAGGGGGGACAGTCAGAAGTCTATCTTGACTTCCTTGGATTAAAATTTGGGATCCAGAGAAAGAACCAGCCCAAGTCAGAGCCAGGCAGAGCTCAGCCTGGGACCTGAGACTTCAGGAGTCTGCCAGACAAGGGAATCACAACACCTGGGTGAAAATCCTGGCATGGGTGAGCCTCTAGGACTCAGCTTTCCCAGCTGTACCATGGAGGTAATGACGCCAACTTCACTGGGTGTTGCAGGGACTGAGATGATAACTGCACACTCTCAGCCCAGACAAGACCTGCAGTCTCCATGGGAGCTAGCACTTGGGGGGCAGTGCATCAGCACCACACAACACACACGTGGTGCTTGCTTTACATGAAATGCTGGGCCAGGTGAAGACCCTCACCCTTACCAGCTACCGGCAGCAGTGAGGATCCGGCTAGTGAGTACCGTCTCCCACTCCTTCCCTTCCCGGTTACACTTCAAGCGGCTCAGCTTCACTCCCCCAACGGCTGTCACTTCATTCTCCACCTCAATGTACATGGAGGGGTCGGAGCTCACCTGAATGGAGGAAAGTAAACACAATGTTCTTTCCGTGTAGCAGAGCAGAGAACTGGTGTTAGAGCTAGAGACTCCAGAGCTTCCTAACCCTACCATCTCCTTTCACAGGGAACATGCAGAGAAGGCATGTGGCTTGTCTAAGAGCACACTGCAAGTGAGTCCCACAACCAGCTGGACACAGCTGGTGGGGAGACGTGGCTCCTAGTTCAAAGTCTTCAGAGATCACAGTGCTTGGTAATAACCGAGGAAAAGTCTAGAAAACCCGAAGTCCTCCCTAGTTCCTTTCGTAGTGAGCCTCTGTCTGCTCATCTGAGACCAACCTCACGGGAGGGTCCCTAGAAGCACATGGAAGCACTTAGTTCAGTGCCTGGCTCCACAATGGGCTCAACTTTGTCTTTTGTGTGTGGGGAGATGACTGACAATCCGTATGAAAAACCAGGCAGGATGGCTGAACAGTTTGCACTTGTGTAGCCACATAAGCAGGTTACCCGGGGCAGAGGGCCATATAGAAACCAAGAAGGGCTCCAAGCAGCACTCAGTGGTGAAACCCCCAGGGGAAGCTGGAGGAGTTTGGGAGAGGGGGTTGTGCTCCTTGCCTCTGCTCACATCAGCAACAAGAACAAAGCATGTGGGTCCCTATTCTCAGGCTCAGAAGGACCTGTGGCAGGAAAGGGCCGACACCCCATGAGGACCAGCCTGGGTTGGGGCCGTGTGCAGCCTGTGAGAAATGACCTGCATATGGAGTCTGAAAGGGTTTCCTATTGATATGCACCTGAGGAACAGAGGGCATGAAGTGACTGGGTGTGCCAAGGTCTGGCATGGGTGCTAGACTAGTGACTACAGGGCCCCTATAAAGGATTATTTACTCTACAATAATATTTAAAAAACTGTTTTGAACAAGCACATGGTTAAAAGAGCCCTGATGCAAACTCTGTGCTGGGCCCAGGAAAATGAACAGGGCCAGTGGGCTGGTTGGGAGGGAGACCAATGCCACACAGTCCGATGGGCACTGAGTCTGAGGCTGCTTGGGACCAAGTGTGGAATGAAGGAGGCTTCCGGAAGGGACTCCTGAGACAATTCTGGAAGGAGCTGGCCATTCAGAAGATGGCGGCAGGGACTTTGAGGGCAAAGCCACAGAGAAAGAAGTGTGGTGGTGGTGGGGGCAGGGGCTGAAGGGGCTCCTGGAGAACAGACTAGTAATCTTGCTGATAAGACTGGTGGTTGCCATGATCAACTACAATTTCCCTCAGAATATGATGGAGAACCACTGGGCAACAGCCCTGTTTCTGACAATTCAGGGTTTACACTGGGGGTTGGGGAAGGAGTGGGGCTGGGGAGAGAGAGAGAGAGAGAGAGAGAACACGCTTGTGAGGGAGAGGCAGGCGGCTGGCTCACCTGGAGGGTGAATGCTCTCTGGGGGCCCGGCATGGGCAGCTTCAGTGTAGGCGCTGGTACAGACAAACACACAGTGTCCTTTTCTGCGGTCAGAGCAGCTGGGGACTGCAAGAGCAGAAATGTCCCTGAGCCCCTCCCAGCACCGTCGGGCAGTGTCAGGTACAGGCGAGTCACCCAGAGATAAGCCTGGGCCAGTTCCCCAGGTATTTACACCCACTCTGGGAGGACAGTACAGCTGACTGCTCCAGTGATCCCACTTGACAGATGAGGTAGGCGACACCAAGGAGCTGCTCAAGGACTCTGGGTAGGTCAAGAGCAGGTCTGAGGGGGAGTGTGCCTCCATGCTAATCCAGGGGAGTGCTTGTCTAACCAGCTGTTCCCACACTGATGAGGCACACTGTGCTGTGTAGGGCCTCCCTTCTCCCACTTGGGAACATGCAAGCTCCAGCACTGAACCCAACAAGTGGGCTGGGGACGCTAGCACAGACCTGCTGGCCTCACCTGGACAGACAGAGACATGGGCATGAGCCGTGAGTCCTTCCGAGGTCGCCCTTTCTTCTTTTTCTCCACTGTTTCCACCTCAAGCTCCAGTTTTCGCTTGGAGAGGGAGGAGGACTTGGCCACTGGAACCTTCTCATCGCTGTCACTGCTGCTCTCCAGGAGGTCCCGGGGCCTCAACTCTTTCACAAGGTTCTGCTCTTTCAACCTGCACAAACACAGATACCCATGGCTTTTTCCATATGATTATTAACTTATAATTATCAATAAAATCCCCCAAAACTGCAACATTAAAAAAGTAGGTGAGGACTTCTGGTTTCGGTTCGAACATTCACACAAACTGGGCTCCATTCACACACAGTCATTCTCAGCACACCTCCCACACTGCCCAGCTGCCATGCTGTTGCCCTCATGTCCTTGTGCAGAGCTGCTCTGTCCACCCCATGCTCCTTCCAGCAACCTTCCCACTTGAAGCAGCCACTCCTTTCTCCTTGAAACAGGGGCTCCCGAGTACAGAGAGACTGAAGCCTGCTCCCCCAGGGAGGGCAAGCTGCTTGGTAGGAGAGAGGACGCTGCACTGCTGGCCTGAGGCTGCACTCACCTGGTCTCTCTGAGCCCCACACAGTCACCACCTACCTTTCTACGGCCGTCGGTGTCACACTTGTCAGGACAGGAGCACCAGGCGTGGCTTTGGACCGCTCTGTGAACCGGGAGTCAAACGCTTTCATGGGTTCAATCTTGGATGGGGTTGTTAACACAGAGGGGGATGATGCAGCAGGAGCCGAGGTAGCGTTCACACTGGGGTGGAGAAGAAGATGGGAGAGCATGTCAAGCACAATTTGTCAGGGATTTGGGAGTCTGGGATTTATATTACCTGGAGCCAAGTGAAAGGGGCAGAAATATAAAACTTCTAAAAACACAAAAATTTCGAGGTACAATGTATTACTCTTATTTTAAAAATATTTTCACATGTTAAAATTCTGGAAGTTTGCCATGGCCAGGTAGCTAGAGCATGTCCCAATGCACCAAGGTTGTGGGTTTGATCCCTGGTCAGGGCACATACGACAAGCAACCAATGAATGCATAAAAAAGTGGAACAACAAATCAATGTTTCGATCTCTCTAAACCAAATCAATAAATAAAAATGGTAAATATGAAAAAAGTAAACATTTATAAAAAAATTCTCCAAGTTTGGCTATCGGAGAATGCACTCACATTTGCCCCACTGCATTGTTCTGAGAGCTTCGGGGGTTAGCACAAGGCCTAGAAAGTGGTTCTTGCAACCCTTTTCTCCTCACCTTACGGCCCCATCTCCACAACTTGAATACAGCCACCCACACCACTCCAACCACCAGCTTTTCCCACTTTGACAATGGGTCTGAGGAGAAAAGCCCCATCTGGGGTCCTGAAGCCGCTGTCTATTCCTGGCCTTCAACCTCCTGCCCCGGTGGCCCCTCAATGTAACAATTTCACATTCTTCACACTCTCCTCCCAGTATCCATCCCACAGCCCTTGCCTTCTCCTTCGAGAAAGGAGAGCCCGAGCATGAGCCTGCCAGCCACCCTGTGGTCCTCTGCATCCCTCACACTGGGTCTCCAAACCACTGGGCCTCCCAATGACCAAACCCACCGGACTGGACCCGACACCAGATGCCTGGCAGGTATCCTAGATAGCCTCTCTTCCTCTCCAGGGAACTCTAGGACCAACTATTGAGACATTTTGCAAATCTGGGGCTTTCTAACTGGTCAAGCTGTTCCATCTCCTCTTCCCATCTACCCTCACACTTCCCTCAGCCACGGGACTTGACACTTGGTGATGCCTCCATGACCATGACATCAGAGCCCAGGAAGGAGGAGGCTGTAATAACACAAGACCCTGTCCCCACCGATGGAGAATCACTCTGACAGTAATAGTTTCGTGTGCAGGGTGGCAGCTATGTTTGGGCACCAGTGCCTCCTGGAGTGATCTATCTAAGGTGCAAGACCAGAGCCTTCTGTGTCTCCATTCTAAGGAGAAGCCCAGGGTATGTGATTCAGCAGCGAAGCCCAGCTTTCCCCCCCTTTACTGACACTCCTCAGGGACTTGGGGTTCTGCTCTCGCTGCTGTCCCCTAACCCTTCCCTTGGGTGGCCTATACGGGTCCTGGGTAGGGCATCCTCCAATAACCCTTCCTGAGACCTGCCCAACAAGCCCTCCCCTGCTTTGGATGGGTAGCTATTTTCACACAGGAGACCCGAGGAGCCACCCCTATGCCTCTGTGTTTGCCCCTTTCTCCACCAGCTGACACACTCTCTAGGGACAAGGACCCACCAATCAACCCCGTGTGGATGCCTGGGCACTCGCAGTGTGTAACCCAGGGCAGGTACTGGGCAAATGTTCACGGAGTGAATGGCTCCTGGCTCTTATTCATGCTCCTCTGGTTCTTACTGACTTCTGATTTGGTTTCCAGGTAATGGCTGGTGAAGACAAAGGCTCCTGGAGCAAACGTAATTCTGAGAGTGAAAGATGACTCTGCCCCAGCACACTAGCGCTCTGCCTGAGATGACTGGTATGGTGGTGCCACCAATAATGCAGTGGAGGCTAAGCCACCTCCAGTGCAGACCTGCCAGAAGGTGAGTTGATCCTCTGGCAGGTGACGTGCCCCTGGCTGGTTCCCACCCTTAGGAGCCCCATCCTGGGATTGCTCTTCCCCCAGGATGTGGAGTCCTCACAGCCCTGTGCATCAGACTCAGCTGAATGAAGGCCTCCCTTCCGAGCAGGCCCTCATCTGAAATCCAGCATCTTTTTTCTTTCTTTTTATTGAAGGGGCCACGAAGTGTCCCTGGAACTGTGTCCAAACCCAAACTTTCCCCAGGGACAGGAGGAAGCCTTGGTGCCCACTCACCTGTCCTTATTGACAGAACTGCCCGCAGGCCTGGTGCCGGCTGCTGCCGCAGGTTCCGTGGAAGGCTTTGAGGTGCCGAAGGAGTTGGGGGTACTGGCGTCCAGTGGCAGCAGCTGTGGACTACTGTGAGAGGAGAGCATGCTGCCTGCCAGGGAGCCTGAGAGTGGGATGCTGTTAAAGAACGCCGTGGAGAAGTCCCTGTGGTCAGAAAAAACAAAGCCAGCCTCAGAAGTCAGATACCACATAATACTTTATACAATTCTAAGTAACTTTTTTTCTGGATCCAAAGGTAATTTATTTTCAAAGAAGAAAATTTGCAAAATTACAAAACTTAAATCATTCCATACACTCTGTGTAACTGACTCTAAGTTGAACTGATACTTTATGTACCACTAAGAAAAAACTGTTACCAAATATAATTGTCAGATGCATCCTGATCTTAGAGGTGTTAAAATGTAAAAACATGTGTCTGAGAACTAATGAAAGACAGCATACAAAGTGGACCTCCCTTTTCTTATGGGCTATATGCATGTACCATAATTTACCTAACCAGTCTTTACTGAGGAACAACTGGGCTGGGCTGTCTCCCAGCCTGTTCAGTGATAGACACTGCGGCAACAGGAGGCAAGATACTGCAGTGTTAAGACTGAGGGCCCTGGGCCAAACCAGCCAGGTTTCACTCCTCTGCCATGCACCAGCTCTGGGACCTTGGGTGCTTCAACCACTCTGTGCTTCAGGTTCCTATCTGCAAAACAGAAAGTGACAGGACCTTCCCCATGGGGTTGCTGTCAGGACTGAAGTTGTTAGTGTAGCAAACACTTAGAACACACAGTAGCTGCTCAAAGATGTCCACTGGTATAACGGTCATCACACCTGCTGTTTCACTTTTTACATGAGATAAATTCCTAGAGGTGGAATTGCAGCAGCCAATGAAATGTTCATTACTGATTTTTGGCAAATAGCTCTAAAGTGCCCTTCTTAGGGGTTTAAATTACAATCTGCCTATAAGTGTCTATAATCCCACACCCTCACTGACAATTTTATCAAACTTATTTTCTTAAAATATATTTTTATTGATTTCAAAGAGGAAGGGACAGGGAGAGAGAGATAGAAACATCAATGATGATGAGAGAGAATCATTGATCGGCTGCCTCCTGCACACCCCCTACTGGGATCGAGCCCACAACCCAGGCATGTGCCCTTGACTGGAATTGAACCTGGGACCCTTCAGTCCACAGGTTGACACTCTATCCATTGAGCCAAACTGGCTAGGGCTTATCAAATTTCTTGATAGCAGATAGATGAAAAATAGTATCTTACTATAGTTTTAATTTGCAATTATTTTGATGCAATTATAAGATTGAAATTTTTTCATATAGAAACACCTGATTTCTTTTTGTGTGAAATGTTTGTTCATATTCATCTACTGTTCCACTTGGTTATTGGTCTTTATTATTGATTTTAAGGCTATAAACGTATAAAATATTCCTTATATGACCAGAAAATATTTCCCCCCAGAATATAGTGTTTTGATTCTTTATTGTGTAATTTTCTTTCCCCCCAAAATGTTATTTTTGTGTGGTATAAATTTTGTAATTTATAGAAAATACTTTTTTACCTCAGAGATTATGAAAATATTCTTCTATGGACTCTTCTAAAATTTTAAACAAAAAAATTAAACATTAAAAAAAATCTCTTAGCTGTTCAGATGTTCTCTGAAAATCTCTCAGCTGTTCAGAATCTTTTTTTTTTTTTTTAAATATATTTTATTGATTTTTTTACAGAGAGAAAGGGAGAGAGATAGAGAGTTAGAAACATCAATGAGAGAGAAACATCGATCAGCTGCCTCCTGCACATCTCCCACTGGAGATGTGCGCGCAATCCAGATACATGCCCTTGACCGGAATCGAACCTGGGACCCTTCAGTCCGCAGGCCGATGCTCTATCCACTGAGCCAAACCGGTTTCGGCAGCTGTTCAGAATCTTAAGTGAGGCAGGGCTCCAATTCTGTTTTAGCGTATCAAATAGTCCTGACTCCCATTTATTGAAGATACTGATTCACCATGGATGCAAAGTATTATCTTTACAAAATTTTCATAAATATCTGAGCCGATTTGTGGGTTTTCTATTGCATACCAATGTTCTATTTTCCACCTCCCCTCACTTGAGGATATTTTTCCATTGCTTTTCAGAGAGAGTGGAAAGGGGAGGGGGAAGAGAGAGAGAGAGAGAGAGAGAGAGAGAGAGAGACAGACATTGATTGGGTGTCGCCGACATTCATGCGTCCCGACTTGGGAGAGAGAGAGAGAGAGAGAGAGAGATCAAGATCGACTAGTTGCCTCTCACATGTGCCTAGACCGGGGACAGGGAGCGAACCCACAAGCCGGGTACATGCCCTTGACCAGAATTGAACTTGCAACCCTTCGATGTGTGAATCAAGACTCTAACCACTGAGTGAAACTGGCCAGGGCTGTTTTATTTTTTTGTTTTGTTTTTTGTTAATCCTCATCTGAGGATATTTTTTCCATTGATTTAAAAAAAACTGATTTTAGAGAGGAAGGAAGGAGAGATAGAAACATCAATGATGAGAGAGAATCATTGATTGGCTGCCTCCTGCATGCCCCACACTAGGGGTTGAGTCCACAACCCGGGCATGTGTCCTGACCAGGAATTGAACCATGGCCTCCTGGTTCATAAGTCAATGTTCAACCACTGAACCACACTGGCCAGGCTCCATTGATTTTGAGAGTGGGAGGAAGGGAGGAGTAGAAGGGGGGAGGGGGGAGGTAGAGAGAGAGAGAGAGAGAGAGAGAGACAGACAGACATTGATTGGTTGCCTCCCACATGCATGCACCCCGACTTGGGCCAGGGCTTGAACCTCCAACCCAGGTACACGCCTTTGACCAGGAATCAAACTTGAGATACTTTGTTCCTCAGGCTGATGCTCTAACCACTGGGAATACTGGGCAGGGCCCAATGTTCTTTGTTTTCATGGGTCAGTACTTTAGTACTTCACTGCTTTAATTTCTGGTAGGGCTAGTCTTCCCTGATTTTTTCAGAAATATTTCGGCTATTCCTATTTCTTTTCCCACTTAAATTCAGAATCAGATTGTCTTATTCAGAAAGCTCCTGTGGTTATTTGTATTGACTCATTTTATATTTACAGACTGAGAGAAATCTGTCATCTTTATGATGTTGTTATCCTAGCTAATACATAGTATGCATTTTGTGTAATTTCTTTGAATTTCCTTTTAGGACTCTCAGTAGGGTTTAATTTTTTTTCTCATAAATATCTACATTTCTTCTTACATTGAGGTATTGCATTTGTGAAAGTGATTTCTTCTTATCTTCTAAAAGTAGTTGGTGGTACTTGATCTCATCATGTAGGTTGTGTATAGTCACCTTATTTTCTTCTTTTATTGTCTATGGCAGTTTTTCCAGTTGATTCTCTTATAGAGATCAAATCATCTTTAGATAATAATACATTTACCATTTCCTATCCAATTTATTGTTTCTCTTGACTGAGCAAGGATCTCTAAAATGATGTTAAATTATAGTCACAAGAGTAGACATTTTAGTTCTTTAATTTAATTTGAATAAGACAGTTTATCAAGCATCCATCTATTTCTGTTTAAATGAGTTTTAAATAAGAATGATGTTGAATTAAATAAAAATGCCTTTTAAGCATCTCTAGAAATGATATCATTTTTGGGATATATTAAAATGTAGAAGTAAATTAAGTTTTCCAAAATTTGAACTACTTTGCTTTCCCAAAATAAACTTCACTTGGTCATAGGGCATTAACATTTTAACACATTTTAAGGTTCTGTTTGTTACTATTTATTTAGGATTCTGCATTGACATTCAGAAATAAGATTGATCAGTAATTTATTATGTTCTATCTGTAGGTTTTGATGTAAATATTGTGTTCACTTCAAAGATAAAGATTTTGTAAGCTTTCCTTCCTTTTCTATGCACTAGAATGTTTTTAATAGTATTAGAATGATCTGTTCCTTCAAAGTGTTAGAATTTCCCTTCTTAGTCTGGTGGCTTTTGGCAGATTAACTCTTTGATAGTGTCCTCTATTTCTTCTATAATAATTCATCTGTACAGATTTTCTTCAGTTTGCTAATTTTATTTTCCTCAAAAGTCATCCATTTTCAAATTTATTTGCATAGAGTTCAGCAAAGTTTTCATCCTTTTAATTTATTCTTTATTTGTAATTATTTCCCACTTATTTCTACTTTACACATTTGTGCTTTTTTTCTTTCTTGATTAGCTAAGCTGATAATTAGCTGTTCTGTTACTACTTGTTTTAATAGGGGTATCAGGAGGGCAAAGAAGCCTTGGAGACCAAGAAAATCAGATTCTGGTGCCAGAAAATGAGTCTTCTAGCAGAAAGCTGGCTCAAGGCCAGGCAGGAAGCCATCTACTCCCTCTGCCCCGTCACAAGGTGAGGCCTGGAGGGATCTACAAAACTAAAATGCCACTACCACCACCTCCACCACTTCCACGACCCTCACTCCCACAAGTCTTGCAGTGTCATATACTTGGTCTGACTTGGTCCTAATAAAAGGTAGGCAGCTGGTGGCATGGGGAAAAGGCTTGATCAAAGGAAAACCACTCTCTGGGAGGAGCCAGGAAACTGGTACAGGCTTCATTGGGTCAAGTCTCTGTCCTCCAGGGCCTCAGAGGTCAATCAGCACATCGTATGACTAAAGGTCTCTTTAGACTTGTAAGAAGATTTGGATCAAGCTCATGGATGAGCAGTTGCAAGGTGCAGAGGACTATAGTGTGTGGTTGCCCCAGTAGGCTGACTGCATGAGTATAACCCAGAGTGAATCACCTTTATGAGGGGTGCGGGGGGATCTATTTCTTTCATACTGGGCTTTATCATTCTTTGAATCAACATCCATCATTTTGGGGAGAATGGCCCATATAAAAGCAAGCCTGACAATAGATGCTAAGACACAGCAAATGGTGACTGAGTCCACTTTCCCCGCTCTCTGCCTCCTCAGGGAAATGTGCCTCAGCGTCCATTCTCCACCCAACAGTTCCACTTCTGGGAAGTAGCCTGAAGTAACAGTCACAGGTGAGCTGTTGCTCATTTACAATAAAAAACTACAAGCCCATAGTGAAGGGGCTGGTTAAGTAAATCATGGTGCATTCACAGGCTGGGAGCCTGGACAATCAGCAGGGCAACGCTTCAGAGGACTATTTATTAAAATGGATGCAAGGTCACGATATAGGAACAAGTCGGGAAAAGACTGGAGATACAGATACCAAAATATTAACATTGATTATATCTGAGAGACTGCATTAAGGGTAAGGTTTATGTCCTTCTTTGGGCCTTTACTATTTTCAATAATAAATATATGTATTACGTTCACAATAAAATTTTAAAAAGAAGGCTATGCCAGGGAAAAAAGGAACGGAAAAAAAAACCAGTCCAACTTCCCTACCTCAAGTTTTGTCATGCCCTGGCAAGATGAAGCAGAGCTGGCTGCGTAGACACGCTGACCCTGTGAAGGGGCCCTTGGCTGCTGGCCTGTCACAGGCCCTTCCCAGCCCACCTTCAGCAGAAGTTTGCATAAGGCTCTGTGAGGAGCACTGGACTTTGAGGTTGTTGGGAAGTTGGGCCCAACTCACTCACTTCCAGATTCTATGGGTCAGATCTGCCCAAGAGCCTGTGAAGATCCTAATTACGAAAGTGCTAAGTGGCGAAAGGCGAGAGGAAGGGCTCCCAGACAAGGCCACAGAGCCCGGTGAGTGAGCGAGTACCCGGTGTCCAGCTGTGCTATGCAGAGAGGTGTGATTCTCCTCCGACCGTCTGCTGTCCGCGTCTCAACTTGTTTCTTCAAAAGATTCTGGCAAAGTGGAATGACATAAATGATTGGAAACATTTCTGTGAACCATCTCCAATTACCAAAAAATACGGTTTCTAAGGAAATGTATTCTAAATTGCCTTTCTGTAGTCTTCTGTTCCAACTAAACTAAACCACTCAATCAAAGAACAAATGTTTTTATCAGGGTACATGCTCCACTTCCAGCAAGAAAGGACAGAAAGCTCCCAGCTGAACCAGCTGAGCCCCTTCCTCTTCATCACCAGTACGCAGGCCTGGCCCGGTGCCAGGGGAAAGTAAGTGGCCACTGGGAGGTCAACAAGAGAACTAACAGATGAGACCTGCACCCATGAGCCACACTTTTGTCTCTAAGCTGTGGTTTGCAAACTTTCTTCCACTAAAGCGCATAACCAAGGATCACACACTGTCTGCATCACCTGTGGAGGTTCAGCACCCTTCACAAACTCCTAAAGATGGTTAAAGCACCGTAAGAAATTCTAACCTTCCTGCCCCATCTCTACCTTCCACACCTCAGGGAGAAGAAAGAGGAGCCCACAGATGTTTCTTAAGGGCAGAGACTGAAACTAATGTTCTCAGCACAGTAAATCCTCACTTAATGTCATCGACAGGTGCTTGGAAACTATGACTTAACGTGGAACAACATATAAGGGAACCAATTTTACCAGAGGCTAATTGATATAAACAAGAATTAAGTTCCTGGGACATATTTCTGGTCACAAAAACACCATCAAACTTCTAAGTAAAGACCCAAAATACTTTCAATATTCAACGCTGAAATACACGTGAGTCATACGTACACTGAAGGAAGATTCATAAAAACAAGTAGGTGATTATTTTCCAACCCACCGTTCAGTCACGGGCGGCTGGAGCCCATCTCGGCAGCTCGGGTATACCGTGGACAGTAACCCTATCATGCACATCTTTGGGATGTGGGAGGACACGGGAGAACGTGCAAACTCCACACAAGACTCAATTTTTAATTTTCTCATCAAGGTTGTAGAGACAAAATGATGCTATTCAAGGAATAGCAGTACATATAGTATATACAGAATTCCCTAGAAAGGCCAAATTCCTATAAGAAATGACCCCTTCTAGAGCTCTTTGGGGCAAAAAGGCCTTTGATAAAGGTGGATTAAGCACCGCTACTGCCTCATGCAATTGAGGGTAACGGGCTGAGTGGGCCCAAACTGGCTCATTCCTGGGTCCTACACCAGACCAAGCGTACACCCACCTCCCCACCACTCATGTCTGTACCCTGTCCAGACTGCCTGTTCCCCTTGTCCTGTCCCTGGGCATGTGCTTGCTGTGTTCTCAGTGCCATCGAGCCAAGCCCTCACCTTCCTGATGTCTTCCAGACTCTCCCCATTGACGACACCGGCGACTGAGGCAGCTGAGCCCGTCTCTCTGGCCACGGCACTCTTCTGGTCCAGCTGCTGCTGTTGCTGCCTCCGCTGGTACTTGAGCATCTCCGGGTTCTCGATGACAGCTGTAGACAGCTGGGCCTCGGTCATGATAGCCAAGCTTTTCCCATAGGTTTATTGGTGAATGTGGCTCTAGAGAAAGTAAAGAAAAGTACAACAAACCAGCTGTGAGCAGCCAAGTGAACTGGTGCTAGCTCTCCTGGCTCTGGGAGCAGAAAGGGCCCTGGGCGGGGGTCCCAGAGCGCCAGATGCCAGTTCTCCATCGCCTCCCATCCTATTCTGCCTGTTGCCAATTAGATGACTCTGGAGCAGCCTTGTATCTTTCCTAGATGTTTAGTCTCCCATGTATCTATACCTGGGGACAAAAGTGAATGAGTAACCCACTAGAAAAAACCTACTACATGTCTGATGCAGAACAAATGGCAAATGTTTGTTGAACTGAAGTTAAGACACTCAAATTGCTAACTTAAGGCTCCTAAATCACCCCAAGGACCCCAAACACTCTTTGGGAATCAGATACTGAAAACAGAGTCTGCTTTCATTGCTCTTATCTACAGCCATCAGCCCATGTGGTTGGAGGTTGCCATGGGGCTGCTAATAGTGTTTCTAAGAACAAGGGGAGGCCTCGCACAGCGGATCTAGGGAAATCCTCTGTCCCTGCTGTCTCGATCCTTCTGAGAGGGCCCCTCTCTCCATCTTCCCAAGTCTCATTGGTCACATGCCAAAAAAGTCAGATGGGACCCCACAAGGGCAGGGATAATGTCCCCAGAACACTGGAGTGACTGCTGCGATAAAGAACAGATTCACATAAGGATACGCAATGACCAATGTGGAGGTCAGTAGGACATCTGCCTCACAGCAGATGCTGGGTGGGGAAGTGGCATCTTGGGACTCACTCCTGCAGGGCCTGCTGTGCCTGCATGTGGCCAGGAACCCCCCTCCCTTACCACCCTGGCTCCTGTCCCCTTTCTCCTAAATCCCTCCCCTGGAATCTCGAGGCAGAATTCAGAGTTTGACCAATGTTTCCCCAGTGTTCTTCATACATGCGGTCCCTGCCTGTCATCCGGGAAATGGTAGCTAGACAGGTTATTACATAGGCTCCCACTGCGACGCTCCAAGGGGGAGGGGAGTGCACAGTGGATCCCAGGTTACCTGAGGACTGTGAAAGGTGCAAAGAAGACCTGAGGCCAAGACACTCACCCTCTCATTGACAAGACACTTCCAGGGGGCCAGGCCCTATTCTAGGTGCTGTCAACAACTCAGACTCTTACCCCCAAAAGATTTACCTCACAGTGGGGGTGGGGGTCCCCACAGTAGCTTAAGATGAAGCTTCTATAGTAATTGAATCACTGCGGGGAGAGCTGCTCACCTACTCTGAGCTTTCACAGGGCTCCTTTCAGACAAAGACCATTTGTAGAAACACTGGTTCTAAGTCTAGGGTAGTGAAAGCAGAGCCGTTCCCGAAGCCCTTGAGGAAGGGCCCATGGCCACACTGTCCTGGGCAGAGCACAGGGAGGAGGCCTGGCCCAAATCAGTGGGCCTGGGTCAGGCTTCTGTTCTTGTACCAAAAGGTCCTGTATGGTCTTGGCAAAGAGCCATACTATTTTCTGTGGCTTAATTACCTCATTGATGAAACGAGTAAGTTCTGCCTTAAAGCGTTATATATTTTAAATAAAATGTATGCAAACATATGGTCCAGAGGCTGGTACGCAGTAAGTGCTGAAAAATGGTCAATATTACTATTTAGTTGCTGCTCCATGGCAACCTTGTCAGTAAAAGACAATGGGGGCCGAAGCCGGTTTGGCTCAGTGGATAGAGCGTCGGCCTGCGGACTGAAGGGTCCCGGGTTCGATTCCGATCAGGGGCATGTGCCTTGGTTGCGGGCACATCCCCAGTGGAAGATGTGCAGGAGGCAGCTGATCAATGTTTCTCTCTCATCGATGTTTCTAACTCTCTATCTCTCTTCCTTCCTCTCTGTAAAAAATCAATAAAAAAAAAAAAAAGACAATGGGGAAAAGTGAGGTGAGTGGGACTCTTGGGAGCTCTCTCTCTCTCTGGCTTTTTTCCCAGGGTGAAACCTCCCAGTGTGTGTGGCTAATTATCAGTTCAGGAAGAGATGCCCAAAATTGTTTTATTCTTCATCCCAGAACTGATTGCTGACATGAACCGAGATTCATTTTTAAATTAATCTATCTTCTAAAGAAGACAAGGATTACAACCTATAAAAGACGAACACCCAATAATACGTTAAGAAACAAAGTACGTATTCAACAATAAAGAATTATTAAAAAAGAAAGAAAAGAAACAATGTATCTGTGTATGTCACAAGACGAGGGTCCAACTGAAGGGGCCTCTCCGAGCTATCATGGCCATGTCTGTGGCCTCAGAGCATGCACAGCACATAGGTCACTAACCCACAGTATGTTATTCTCCTACCTTCTCCTCCTCGCTCAGGGGGTCTCCAAGCTCATCCTGGGAGAAGTCTAGGAATGCCACAGAACCATCCATGGAACACACCAGGATGCCCAGCCCGTTCAGAGTCCTGAAAGAGATGACCATCAGCAGCCTGGGAGCAAGCCCTGTGGTGCTCACGCATGCCTCAGTGGTTGGCCGAGAGGACAATAGGGCAGAGCTCTAGGTAGACACTGAGAATCTCGGATTCCCTTTTGTGGCCTTGTGGGGATGAGGATGCGGATAGGGCAGACAATAGAGTCCCAGAAGGTTCTGGCACCCTTTAGTTCTAAGCACATGTACAAAGTATCTTTCATCATGTACTCTGTAAGAATTTTATTTTTCTTTATCTTATTTTTGAAACCATTAAAAAAAACCACCATGTGGGGGAGTATAAATCTAAATGAGGTCACTGAGAGGCAGACTGTGCCTCCATACCTATGCTAATCTGGTTCATGCAAGGACAGAGTGAAGTGGAACCAAGATCACAGCATTCTCTTTTCCTAAATACCAATTTGTTGGAGAAGGCATTTTCCAGGGCAAATCCCAACAGAGCTAGGAGCACAGCAGTACACACTCTCCCACAAGCAGGACCACGCTGCCCTTTCTTGAATCGTGTATAAACAGCACCCTGGGGTCTGCTCCAGTGTCAAAACTGGGGTGGGTCCCTGGCTACCTGACACTAATCACATCCGGGGGTCTCGTGTTCCAATGTGTGGCTTCTCCTTTCCTAGCCTAATGTACATCATTACAGGAATCCACCTTACCAGGAAATATCCATGATGGATTTGTCAAACAGCTCATGGATGACAACCAAAGGTCGTTTAAGACACGTGAGCTGGAAAGAAAGCAGCAGCAAAGGTTAATAAAAGGAATGAAAACCATATTTTGTTCACTCAGCTCAGTTAACATTATCAGTCCTAGAAGACTTGGTCAGAATTTCAAACAGCAACGATCAAGATCCCAAACTATAGAAACCAAAGTTTGCCGAAATATGCAAACTAGAATGCTTGCTATCTGAAGGGCTCATTGTTTTTTGGTGCGGGGAGATGACTTCATACACAGACAACCAATGACGGAGTAGGGGACTCTAGAAGGGCCAGGACCTGAGCAGAGAAGGCCTGCCAAGCAGGGGAAGGCATGCTGGGAATGAGGCAGGAAAATAGTTCCAGAGAAAACGCAGCATATCTTCTCGGGGCCCAAGGAACTATGGTACACATTTGTACAAGGCTTGGTGTAAACGGCTACGTATGTCACACAGGCTCATTCTACACTGTGTGCGGATAGTTCAGAAACACACAAAAACAGTTTATGTTGCCCTAATCCAGACCCAAAGTTAACCACTATTACTGTTGGATGAGTTATTTTCTTCTGGTTCACAAAATAAGGCACATGGTTGTGCCTGCCTTTTCATTTAATACCTACTGAGCATGTCATGAAATATCCTGTAAACTGTTTTAGATGACTGCAGAACATTCACACGTGCACATTCATTATCTAGTGATTCTAATGTTGGGCCCTGCACTGTCTGCATGCTCCCACAGTTACACTGAGACCCACCTGTTGACAGGTCCTGGGACCATAGAGCGGTAGGCTGGGTGGGAACACCTTTCTGCAGGGCTCCCACCAAGTACTGTGGAAGCTTCCAGGAGGCTGGGACTGTTTTTATGGAAAAGGAGTAGCTTCGACCCTCCTAATCCTGAGGAGAGGGCTGGCATCTGAGCTACTTGGAATCCGCAAGAAAAATCTTGCCCCTACCCTAATTATACTTCCAGAAAAAAGAGCCCTGCCCCTCATCCCAAAAATGTGTCTACAGACCCCTCAGAAATCTGGACCTGTGTGAGCAACTGACCTCAATTTTATAAGAAACATGAGCACACGAGCAGTGATGTTTTGGTCAAAGCACCATGAATGGAGCCCCAGGCCAGGAAGAACATGCCTGGAACTGCCTATGGCACTAGGGTCAGGTTCTGGAATGGATGTAACATGAGTACTGGGCCTGAAAAAATCACAGTGTACACAGCAATCAATTTCTGTGACAAATGACCACAATAAATGCATCAGAGGACAACTCCAAACCTCTGCTTCTGGGGACGTTATTAAGGAACAAACTACCGTTTAATGTAACAGCATACACGACAACACTGTGTCGAGCGAATGCAACACAAGAAAAAGTAAACACTGCCAAACTCCATTCAAATAAAGCTTAAAAACAGGCAAAACCTATCAATGTGACAGATGTCATTAGAATGGTTGCTCTGGCAGAGGGTTCTGGGGTGGTGGTTACATGTGTAAACATGTTATGACAATGCTCTGAGTTGTATACTTCATCTAGATTACATGTCGATACAGGGTTTTTAAATGAAGCAAACATAACATGCCAACTAAAGTGTTCCCTGAGTCTGGACACCAGAGCTGCTCTGGCTGGGCTGAGCCCGTCTTCAGTGCTTCCTTTAGGGGTAATAAGTGGGCCTGACCCAGGTACAGGGTGGAAGTAGGGGCCCTCTTCTTGCAGGCTGCCACACCTTCACCAGCCCTGTCTCCTGTCACCTTTCAGGAGCAGCAAAAGCTCATGATGGGGGGCTCACCCAGACAGAGAGAGAACGGTCCTTGCTGCCAACAGCACAGCAGCAGTACGGGCAGCTGGGCTTCGCAGAACTCCCATTCTTCTGCTTCTTTTTGAAGATTTTTGGGTTGAATTTCTAAAGCCAAATAACAAATGCTAAAATAATTGATCAAGCATCAAGCATGTACCCCATGCCAAGTATTACAAATATACCACAATTGCAGTCCACCGATGGGCAGTCCACACAGACATCTTCCAGGCCCAGGCACTCAGCATATGTTATTTGATCTTTACAACTACCCAGGAGGCATTTTGCTGAGGTTGAAGTGAGATTCAGAGAGGCCAAAACACATGTGCTGAGTCACCCAATGAGTAAGCAATGAGAGGAGGATTTGAAACAGGCTCTACCAACTCTCCAGGCTGGGCCTACAGTCAGGGCCATGGCAAGGGAGCTACTGAATCCCTCCCGGCCTGGGCAGGACCAACTCCAGGACCTGAGCTTTAGGAACAAGGTCCTGAGGGGAGGCTGTTCAGGGTTCGTTTCCTTTCACTTTATTTCTTGCTCAGTCAATACTGTCTTACAAAGACTGATCAGCCCTGCTTTGACCTCACAAACAGGGATGATGGCTACGTCAGGCTAAGTGTAACCAGGGCATCATTTTTTGGAAAGGTTAGAAGCACACACTGGGGTCCTTGCTGCTTTCCTGAATTGAAAAGGATTGGGAGCTCTAGACTCAGAGTTGAAATCTACTAAGCCAGGAAAACTGAAAGGGAAGGGTATGCCAGGTGGTCCAGGAGGGTTCTAATTCCAGAGGGCAGGCAAGAATGGCCAGGGGTACACAGAGACTGGAGAACATGGAACCCAGAGGCATGTATTCTGGGCTTGAGTTTTCACAACCATCTCACACAGTTGCTCCATGAGGTTCACTTGAGAGAGTCATGTGGAAGCACTATGCTAACTACGAAGCAGTGACTTTCAAACATTTTAGCAACATGGTCCTAGTTTCAAACAAGATCTTACATGGACTCCAATACAAAAGTATTAAAGAAGTGATATTTTATTTGTATAAATTTAAGTCACACTATAGGTATATATTATCACTTTAAACAATGGGAAGAAGGAACCCCTTTTTTCATAAATAAAAAAACTGAGATCAGGGGCGTGGATGATGCTTCACATCTATCAGCCTTCGCCCATCAATCTATTGATTTAGCTGTGGTACCCAGTGTTGAGGAAATTCTGGTCCTCACAGTGTTTGCCTTGGGCACTCTCAAGACACTCTTCAACGAAAGTCATCCAAAAGCATAAAAAGAGCGTTATTCTCTGAAGCCTGAGAGAATAACAGTAGCTCACATCTTCTGGCACTCCCCCTCCCCCCCCCACATCAAAACTGGGCAGACAGCTTCAGAATCAGACAAGGACTCCAGTGATCCAAAGCACAGCCGTGAAGCTACAGTGGCCACTGGTGGAGCCCCGGGATAAACGCACGGGCTCGATGGATGCACAAACTGCACCTGTGTCCTCCAGAGCCTGGTGGGTGGGGCACTTGTCAGGACCATGCGGGAGCACCCACCAGCAGACCCGAATGTGTAAAGAGGCTATTGTAGAGCTAGTGTTACTAATCAAAGGCTGATTTTGGTGATATTCATCATGCAAAGTTTGCCAATAAACATGAGTACGTATTCTATTTTTTAAATTGAATTTTTAAACACTGAAACATAGGTATTTAAAGTGAAACAAGAACATGACATGTGCTGAATCTCAGCCTTGGTGACCCAGCCTTGGTGAGCACGGCACTGCGCAGGCTCTGAGAGGACCACTCTGAGCACACTCACCACAACAGTCACAGCTTTCCGGTGTCCGACAAAGTCCATGTTGGTCTTCCAGCCCTCCCGCTCGATGATCTGGGCGGTGGGGCCGGAGTTGTTCATAGCATGGGCAGACACCAGGTAATGTCCATCAGGTGACCAGCTGAGCCGCAACACATGGGTTGTCCCTCCACACTGAAAGAAACATCTGTGCTTAAAAGGAAATCAAGGCCAACCTTGTGACCAAAACTGGACTCAAGAATAAACTTGAGAATTGATTACAGGACAAGTGAGGCCCAGGCTGCCGGCGATGCGCGCCCACCTGCCCGCCTGGCTGCATGACCCCATCCGGCAGACCCCACCCAAAAAGGTGACCAGGTGGTGGTGTTCTCTTTTTAAGTAAGATGTGGAACAATGGTCTTACTTTCTCCTGTTGACCTAGACTGGACTACGAAGAAGCAAGGAAGCCAGAATGGGAACCATAGTTTCAAAAAAAAATTCTAAGATACCAAATTCAGTTCATAAATAAAACATATTAAACCAAAAACTAATCCACACTAATAAAAGATGCAAATTGACTGTACCTTCGTGACACACACCAGCCAATCAGGACTGAGTATGCAAATCAATCCAACAAAGATGGCAGGTTAATTTGCATACTCAGGCACCCAGTGGCTGGGGGTGGGGCAGGACAATGTAGGCGTTCCACACTGCCCCAGCCGCTCCGGGCCTTTGGGCAGCATGGGAAGGCGGAAAGGCGCTCCAGTCAGAGCGAAGGCGGTGCCAGCAGCCAGGGGAAGGAAGGCCCATTCTTGCACAAATCTTCGTGCATCGGGCCTCTAGTAATAATAATAATAAATTTGAACTCTGATTTATAAATGTTTGATGGCGGAGCCTGTACCCAAGCTTCTGGCTACACAGACAGCTGTAACTCCAGCCTCTCCAGATGACACAACTAAAACGACTGTCAGATGAGAGAGTTGGAGCCATGGCATACTCCACTCCCACAGGAGCTGAGCACAGCACAGTGGGGTAGGCCCTAAGGGGATCTGTAGGACGGACAACTCTCTTTTAAAAAAAATTTATTAATTCTTTTTTTTTAATATATATTTTATTGATTTTTCACAGAGAGGAAGGGAGAGGGATAGAGAGTTAGAAACATTGATGAGAGAGGAACATCGATCAGCTGCCTCCTGCACACCTCCCACTGGGGAAGTCCCCACTACCAAGGTACATGCCCTTGGCTAGAATCGAACTTGAGACCTTTCAGTCCGCAGGCCAATGCTCCATCCACTGAGCCAAACGGCTAGGGTAAATTTAGTAATTCTTTATTGTTGAAAATATTACATATGCCTCCCTTTCCCCCAATGACTGCCTCTAACCCCCCACCCCAGGCCTTCAGCACCCTATTGTCTGTGCCCATGGGTTATGCATATATGCTTTTAAGGTCTTTGCTTGATTACATCCCACCCACCCACCCTCCCCTACCCTCCCTCTGAGAGTCCACTTGGATGGACAACTCTTTTAACCATCAACTCTGTATGGGCCAAATCTATCTGGCCACTGACACCCTTTTTCCTGCCCAGCACCTTTTAATTCCACTCCATGAGCTCTGTAAGTCAGCTGGCCTGTAGTGGAAGTCAGTGAGCAAAGCCACAGTAGTCAGGAAAAATACGAGAACCACCTCCATCCCCTTGTCCTCCCATACATCCCATGGGCAGTGCAATATAAATGTCACATGGTGAGAAATAGTACCATCCATGTCTGTGGCAGAAAGCTGTATGGCACAAGGTGGTGGGGTATCTCCTTAGCTTTAAAACTTTTAAATTCTTTTCACTCCAAAGGTGGACATTTGATAACATCTGAGAAATGAAATATTTTCATCATCTGACTCTTAGGGCCAAAGTGTCCACCCTCTCAGAGAACCTTGACCAGTCTGCTCAGGCCACCGGATTCTGATTCACCCACAAAGCCCCCACCCCAGCCAGCTCCTCTGTGCACGGAGGCCAGGAAGGGTGCTGGGCTGAGCTCTCTAGGCTGTCTCATTACCTCATCAAAAGGTTTGGTGATGCTGGTCTCCAACTGCCAGTCCAGCGTCCTCCACACCTTCAGGCTGCGGTCATCAGCTTGAGAGGCAATATATTTACCAACAGGGTCCCAAGTCAACCCTTTTACCAAGCCAGAATGACCTCTCAGAGTAGCTAGAATTTCTGTGAAGAAAAATAAGAGATTGGAAAGGTGTTACCTAGAGGACAACGATGTCTCTATCTAGAAACATGAACTACAATCCATGGGCTATGGAATGGCCAACCAAGAGAAGGAACTTCAGGAGTGCAGCTTGGCCAGCCCCGCTCCTGTGCACAAGCAGAAGAGCCCCTAATCTAATTTCCATGAAGGCAAAACTCACCTGAAGACTGCACCAAGGAGGCGGGAATCATGATCGCCCCTCACTCACAACCAACACTTGTGGGTTGGGCTGCATATGTCCCTGGAGGGGCAGGCAATCAGGGGCCTCGGCTTGGGCCAGAGCCATATTCTGCCTCTTTATCTTGTCTGTAGTTGGCGGTATTGCCTGTGGTTTGCCTTTCTAGGCAGAAGCCCATTCTCACCTGGGTCATCACATTGGCATTTCTGATGTGAACCTCCCTGGCAGCACAGGGGACTGGGCATGGCACTGAGTCCCCTGTAAGTCATCACTGAGGACAGTGTGTGAGACAGTACCTCCTAGAAATCCTCCCCTAAATGTTACCCCAGCTCTAAATCTGCCACTTGGTGGCCCGGTTGAGTGTCACCACACATACCGGTGGTTTATAGGGAGAAAATGACTTGGATTAAGTCCCTGGACGATGCTTTTCAGCCCATGAGGAAACCATATCCAGATGAGAAGCAGGGACATAAGCAATATCTTACTAGGTATAAACTGCAGGTTATGCCATCTGTCATGACTTCAAACACATTAATATGAAAAATTAATCTTTTGCAAAACTGGATTTGCTAGCCTGCATCTGCTCAAGGGTGTCACGGGGGAGGTGGCAACTGAGCTGAGGCCAGAGCCCAGTGGTGGAACTGTTACCCTTGAAGACGTATGTGTGGAGGAGATGCTGGGGTGCACATGAAGGCACAGCATGGCTGGGAGTGTCAGGGCAAGCTGAGCACGGTCCCCAACGCCAGCTGTCAATGTACCACCCTCATGATTTGTGGCACATCCATATTAGCACTCAGTTACTATTTTTCTTTAACATAAAACTCTTTTAAACCTTTAAACAAATATAACTGATGAAGAAAAATAACTGAATATCTGACAAGACACACGAATCCCTGCCCACTGTGAGACACATGCTGCCACCAGCCAAAAGAGAGCCATCCTGCTCCAGACACCAACAGACAGCACAGATAATGAGCGACCCATTCCTGCCACCACCCAGCCAGAGGAGCCCAGACCTGGGAACTTCACTGCATTCCAGATGACGACAGTGTTATCCACGCTGCACGAAGCCAGCCAGGCGTCATGAGGAGACCATGCTACGTCCATCACATCTGGAAGACAGAGGGCTGGCGTTGAGTCTCTTACCTGGAGTGCAGGCTCGGCAAGGGGGTCAAAGCAGTACCACCCATTTGCCAGCTGGTGTCATGTTTGAGGAGACTTGACCTAGGACCATCATAAGTAGACTCTTTGTGTAACCATTTTGAAAAACTTTCCCACTAATGATTTTCAATTGGTCATAAATTTTGAAGGATCTAACCGATTCCTCGCTACCCCTTTCATACATGAGGCAACTAGGGGCACGGCTGAAAGCGTGGTGTCTTGTGGCACTGCACCCACGTATTAAAACCACGGCTCTGATAAATATCGGGCCTGTGACCTGGGGCTCGCTCCTCAGCCCTGCTAAGCTTGCTTCCCCCGTTCTAACTGGGCCTATCTCACACAGCCCTTTGGGCATTGCAAGTTCTCCACTTAGCAGAGTGCCTGACACACAGTCAGAGCTTAATAGCTGCTGACTGAATGAGAGAAAAGCCACCTTCAGACCCTTTTCCTCATTAATTAGCACTCATCTCCAAGATCCTGACAGGAATACCCCTTCCCTATGGAGCCCCCAAACACAATCATGCTCATTTCTTTGTGACTCAGTTTTCACATCTGGAGAATGAGGATTTAAAATAGCACCTATGTGAAATACATGCATACATACATGAATAAGCAAGCAACTATCCTTAGAGGGTTGCTGTGAGGATTAAATGTGAGAAATTGCTGTAGGAAGGCATCAGGCACACTCCAAAACATCTATAAAAGTCAACGTGATGGTGACGATGCCCATCTCACATGCAGGTGTGACGGGCACGGTCTTACTGATTGATCTACTCTCATTGTCTGATACAGCGCTAGGCGTACAGAATAGCTGGTGAGATGAAGAGAAACACAGCAGCAAGTTATTAGCTTTCGAGTCCTTTCCTCATAGGATTTTTAAAAAGAGGTGTAAGCAAAATATTCAAAATTTCTATTGTATTTTTTTTCTAGTTAAAAAATCTTCAGTGACAGCTGGATGAATTTTCCACATTGTACTAGCATTCCCATTTCACACTGCATGCACTGGTATGCTGCTGGAACATTCTAACAGTGTATGTGATCTTCAGGGCTTATTTTGATTTGTTTTGCATTCTATGTCGTTGAGAGCATTTGCTACCATAAACAGACCTAATTTAACAATGAACTTTGACTGGGTTCCAGTTTTTCATATTAATGAGCATATGGGTATGTCACTCTCCACATCGTGGATCGCTTGAGCCCATTACCCCAAAGTGGGAATCTGGGAAGAAAACTGAACATTTTCCTAAGCCTGGAGTCTCTTAACTCTGCAGACTGCTTTTCAAAGACCTCTATGACTTCACAGTTCTATAAGCAGAAACCCATTTCAAGACTCCCCTAATAACTTGAGGATTATGATCTTTTCCCTTTTAACTATATACATATATATTTAAATATATATATATATTTTTAAAATATATTTTATTGAATTATTTTACAGAGAGGAAGGGAGAGGGATAGAGAGTTAGAAATATCTGTCAGTTGCCTCCTGCACACCATCCACTGGGGATGTGCCCGCAACCAAGGCACATGCCCTTGACCGGAATCGAACCTGGGACCCTTCAGTCCGCAGGCTGACGCTCTATCCACTGAGCCAAACCGGACAGGGGTTAACTTGTTATATTTTAAATTTTACTTTGACTAGTGAAATTGAAGGTTTTTCACATGTTTGTCTAGAGTTGTCCTGTCCTTAGACGACACTGCTCCTGTTTGTGACGAGCTCTCCTGTGCAGTGGTCTAACAAATACAAGGACCGAGAACCTCCTCTAGGAGCTGAGTCCAGGAGGGCAGACAAGTGAACCCCAGCATTTGACCACGGTGCCTGAGTCCTAGAGCAGAGAAGTGGTTAGCTGGGAATCCAGAAAGGAGACGTGATTTTCTTTGCAATTTCCATGGACTATTTCTAAAAAATGTATTTTTAGGGATTTCAGAGAGGGAGAGGGAGATAGAAACATCAATGAGAATCATTGATTGGCTGTCTCCTGCATGGCCCCTACCGGGGATTGAGCCTGCAACTCAGGCATGTGCCCTGACCGGGAATCGAACCATGACCTCCTGATTCATAGGTCGACACTCAATCACTGAGCTACACCAGCCGGGCTACATGGACTACTGATACTATAGGCATTAGCTGCAAATTCCATCAGTTTGCCTTCCTATATTATAGAAGATTCACATAGCAAACTGTTATTCTTCTTTTTTTAAAAATATATATTTTATTTTTTACAGAGAGAAAGGGAGAGAGATAGAGAGTTAGAAACATCGACGAGAGAGAAACATCGATCAGCTGCCTCCTGCACACCCCCCACTGGGGATGTGCCTGCAACCAAGGTACATGCCCTTGACCGGAATCGAACCTGAGACCTTTCAGTCCGCAGGCCGACGCTCTATCCACTGAGCCAAACCGGTTTCGGCATGTTATTCTTCTTTGAGACATCCTTTATTGCCTGTTAACCTTGAAAAACATTCCTTCTGCTAGAGGTTTGATATTCAATTGTTTTTCTTCTGTTTTATTTAGAATGTTTCTTTTTAATATTTGAAGTTTATTTTGGTGTATGCTGTATTTAGTGAGCTCTAAATTACTTTCCCCTCACCCAGGAACTGCTAATGGTTACTCTATCCCAATGGGGAATAATTCTTTCTATTAGGTACACTGTAGCCTACTTCAGTGTTGTTAGTTTTAACCAGAAACTCACTCTGTGACAGCGTAGCTTCCACAACTTTAATTATTCTTTCAGATGCCTTTTCGAGTCACTGCTGAGGTCTACAATCCGGGCCCCTTGGGGGATTAGGAGAGCTGGTTTCAGCCTGAACCCTGCAGGTCAGGCCAAGGGACCCCACTGGTGCATGAATCTGTGCACCGGGCCTCTAGTATGCATATAAGATCTTTGGTTAATCTCTTCCTGCCCTCCGCTTTCCTCCGTCTCCTCTGAGATTCATCAGTCTGTTCCATGTTTCCATGCCTGTGGTTTCCGCTCCTGCACTGAGCATCTGCCCCCTGCTGGTCAGTGTGCATCATAGCTACCGGTTGGACGGCCAAACAGTCGGCAGGTCACTTAGGCTTTTATTTATATATATATATTCTAATAGGCTATTACTAGTGAAAGATAAATAATTACAAGTTTTCTTATATGAGGCCAATTCAATAACTCATTTTTATTAGCCCCACCTGTTTTTCAAGGCTTTATGAGTTCTAAGAGCTTTCTTCCTTTGGGTTTTCTTGATATACAATACCATGCTCATATCATTTCATTTTTGTCTTATTTCCAGTATGTTTATCTCCTTCTCATTTGCTTCATTGTGCTGCAGAAATTCCAAAGTAACAAATTAAATGATAGCACCTATTCTTGTCTTTTCTCAATATAAATGGGAACAAGGCTCAATTGTGAACTGTAATACTTGCCATTGGTTGGAAAAAGGCAGATGACTCTATCATGTTAAGGAAATAACTTTCTATGACCATTTTTTTTAAAAGCATTTTTATTAGGAAATGATGCTGAGTTATCTGTCTTTCAGAATACCTCATCAGATGACTCCGTGCTTTTTCTCATTTAACCTCCTAGTATGCTGAATTATATTAACAGATTTCCTTTACACATGTCTTCCATTATAAATCATATTTAGTCAAAATGAATTAGTTTTCAAATGTTATGAACTTGTGAGTATTCCCCTTCTGACTTTTCTGTCTTTATTCATATTTGTCTATGCTTTTGTTTCACTGTTACTTTTATTACATTTGGAAACAGGGTTAGAGCTTCCAGAATAACTATTTCTATGTTTCAGAGTCATTATTCTTAAAAGCTTAAAACAATGCATCAAAAAATAATTTAGGACCAGGAATCATTTCTGAAGGTAGCTTCCAACTTCTTCATTGGTTACTACTTTGTTCAGTTTTTGCTAACCTTATGATATTAATTTTGAAAATGTTTATTTTCTAGAAAATTATATCTATTTAGTATTTTTTTTAAAATATATTTTATTGATGTTTTACAGAGAGAAAGGGGGAGAGATAGAGAGTTAGAAACATCGATGAGAGAGAAACATCGATCAGCTGCCTCCTGCACATCTCCTACTGGGGATGTGCCCGCAACCCAGGTACATGCCCTTGACCGGAATCGAACCCGGGACCCTTCAGTCCGCAGGCCAACGCTCTATCCACTGAGCCAAACAGGCTTCTGCTAGTATTTTTTTTTTTAAATTTTATACTATATTAACATTACATTTTGCACTCTTTGATGTTATTCTTCCTCTAGGTTGTTTTTTGTTTTTTTAATTCTTACCCAAGGAGGATATGTTCTATAACTTTTTTTTTGAGAGAGAGAGAGAGAGAAAGAGAGATATCAATGTGAGAGAGAAACATTGATCAGTTGTCTCCTGTACACACCTCAACCGGGGATCAAACCTGCAACGTAGGCATGTGCCCTGACCAGGAATCAAAACCGCAACCTTTTGGTGTATGAGATTGACATTTCAACTAATTGAGTCACCCAGCCGGGGCTAGGTTAAATGCTTTTTAAGATCTCTTACTTCTTCTTCTTTTCTTTAAAACCATCGATCAGCTGCCTCCTGCACATCTCCTACGGGAGATGTGCGCGCAACCCAGGTACATGCCCTTGACCGGAATCGAACCTGGGACCTATCAGTCCGCAGGCCGACGCTCTATCCACTGAGCCAAACCGGTTTCGGCAAGATCTCTTACTTCTAATTTCACCTAGGTTTTCTTTTCTACCCTCGATTAAATATGCCAAGTGTATGTTTTTCACACTTAGACCCAGTGCTTTCTATTCATTTATTTCTTTTTCACTATTTTTTTCTTCTTAAAAGGTTCCATCCATACCTACTATCAGGACAACTGAATAAGAAGTGGCAGGTACCCCTGCTGAAGGTGGGCAATCCTATCTGCCTGGCAAAGGAGAACCCTGGGGTACTGGGCCAGGAAAGAAGTCAAGGTTATGGCTCAGCCTGAGTCTCAGGTTAGGAGCCCCATAAAAGCCTGAGGCCCCACCACATGCTTGAACACCCTCATAGCCATATGTGCCAAAGTTCCAGAAACCCATCTAGATTCCACTCTGAGCAGCAAGAGTAAGTTACAGATTTTTACTATTATCAACAATAACAAAATGCTCCTGTCAGCTTTCACAAAGTTAGAATCAATCTGGTCACCAAGAGGTGGGTTTGTTCACCTTCAAAGTGTCTGCAGAGTATTTGCCGAGCATACACTGCCAGTGGGTTATAGCTGATGCTTTCCAAGCCTCTCACTCCTGCCCCATGTTCCCCCAGAGCTCCAGGCTGAATGTCTCTTGACATTCTCTCCCCAGCTCCCTCAAACTTAGCCTACCCAACAATGAACTGGTGTCCATCCCCATAAGCCTATTGTTCTTAGGATTTCAGTAGAGTACAACCACTGGCTATTCATGCACCCAGCTAGGACTCTCCTTCATCACTCCCCTTGCTCTATCCTAAGAATTTCCCAAATAGTCTCTTCCTCTCTGTTCCCATTATCATAGGCCTATGTCAGGCCCTTAAAGTTTTCATCCGAACCACTGACACAACCTTCTTTTCCCCACAGCTGCCAGAATGATTTCCCTCTTGGCTTCAAAGCTTTTAATGACTCCCTGCCTCTTCCACAGCAAAGGACATCCTCATTAAAAGGTCCCTACGCACTCAGGTAGCCCCACTCCGTGCTGCTTCCTGCCTTGTATATAAAGATCCAGCAGTAGTGAAGTGCTGTCTGCTCATTCACAGCAAACCTCTCACTTCTGCTGTCCTCCCTGCCTGGGAAACCCTCCAGGATATTCCTGGGCTAGACCACAGGCTCTCTGAGGTAAGACTAAGTGATATTTGCTCTGGCATCCCTCGTGCCTAACAAAGTGTACACCACATGGTTTTAGACTGCTATTGGCTGACTGACCTTCCTCCTCTCCAGTTCAAATTGGCACAATGTGTCTTTCCATTCTAAATCTATTTACAACACTTTGCAAACATACTCAGGGTCAAGTAAAAACCTTCATTGGGCCCCTGTATTCTAGTTCTGTGGAATAAATAAAGTGCGCTTACGGACTTAGTGATCCACTGATGAAGGTAGTGACTCAGTTCACCAGGATAAACAGCAGAACGTGGGGAGTTCTACATTAAAAATATAAACATATACCCCATGAGGGCAGGAGTGGGGGCACTGAATGCAGCTGGAGGCAGGCAGTGGGGACGATGACTGCACAGACCTTGAGGGACAGGCAGGGTATGACCGATGGTGATGGGGAGGGGTGACCCAGACACAGAGCTGCTGAAGGTACTGCTGCTGGTCTCAGACAGCTGCTGGGGCCACCCAACCCAATAGGCAGCCCCACTCACCGCCTGAGTGACTCCGGAGGATGGAGACACATCGCCACTGCTCCACGTTGGCAAGCTTACCACTGGAGCCGAAGACAGTGCTGGGGCCGATGTACCTGTGTGAAAGCGGAATCAGAAAGGCACTCCAAGGGAGGCTCTGGCACTGCACAGAGATGCTCACTGCAGCATGGCTTATCATGGCAGACAGAACAAAGCAGAAACAGACAATGGCTGGAAAGCACTGAATTGTTGAACAGCAGGAACTGATTGGTAAATTATTTGCACTTGATGAAATACTACACAGTTATCTACAAAGCTTGTGGTAAAAGACTATCCACTGCATGGGAAAATGTTCACAATATAAAATTAAGTGAAAGAAGCAGGTCACAGGACAGCATATACAATATATCACTATGTAATGAAAAAATTACATGTACGCATGGAAATGGATCAGGACACACATAAATAACACCAAAATATCAACCATAGCTTTCTTTAGGTGGTGGGATTATCATATTTTCCTTTTATATTTTTTTAGTTTTCCGAATTATATACTTAATATTATTGATGTTGGCTAAAGCAGCAAAACCAACAGTAGTTTTTAAGCCCTCTTATTAAGAATTGAAGGCCTCGGCCTTAACACCTGAGGCAGAGAAAGCACTCGAATCACAGGTTCTAGCTCCTGGCACTCAAGCAGTCACGTGGGCTCCCATGGAGGTGGTGCCTACACCACTGACATGCCTCTGTTGACAGCCTTCGCTCCTGTAGAATTCTTCACAAACTCACAGAAAGACCTTGCTGGGGCAGCTGGGTGGGACAGTGTGCCTCTGCTCTCAAAGCCACGGCCATAGGGCCACTCTGGCTGAGCAGAGGGGTAGGTCTGAGTCCCCAGCTTGACTGGCCTGAATCACCTGGGGAGTTGGTTATGGAAGAGTCCCAGGACGCACCCTGAGAGAAGCTGCCTAGGTGTAAAGAAGAAGAGTCTTCTAGATGATGGTTAGCTCACTATTGGTGCAAAGAAAGGGCTTTCAAGTGGGGACTCCTTAGTGGTCAGGGTTGAGCCAGACAGAAAATGAGGTGAATGGCTAAGAGGGCGGGCTCTGGACCCCTCCCCAGATTCCATCAGATCACCTTGACTTTTAACTACATTGCATGTTGGGAAATCTCATTTGAAGAACAAAACAAAGGAAGCCACCAATGACAGCATTGGAAGGGATTCGCCCTTAACCTTGTTGCCTGGCAAGGGACAGTTGAGCAGGTCACTAGGGAGGTTGGTGGCCTTCTGACTCCCTGGTCAGGCCCCAACTGCTCCTGGCCTGTGTGTACTTCCTGTTTCTTATGAAGCTGGGACTCTGGGAACTTCAGTGCCAGGGTAAAGAAAGTGAATGTGATAAAGACCAGCAAAGAAGCTTCTAAAAATAAAATGTGAAGAAAGGAAAATGATGCTTACGTAGCCCGCTTCCACACCATAATCAGTTTGTCATCTCCCCCAGAAGCTAAATACATCCCACTGTTTGACCACCGCACACAGTTCACACATGCTGGGAAGAAAAAAAAATAGGGTGATGAAAATCCAATAGTCATTTGTTTAAGCAGAGTTTGGCAAGATGCAAAGGGTTTATAAAGTCTAATCTATCTAATCTATTCAAGGCATCTACTGTGTGAGAGCCCTAGAAAAACAATTCAGTTCAAGCACTAATCTACTTGTGCTATAACAAAAAATGACCAGAATAGAGCCTGGAGGGTGAAAGCCTACATAACCTGAGAAGTGTTAGTGTTGGATGAAGTAGTCAGTAGGAGGAGGCTCGCTGCCATGAAAACTGGTAAATACCTAAATCTCATTATTTAAAAAGGGCTGTCTAATGATGAGATGTATTTCTGAAGAGGGGTAACTCTTGACCAGAAGACATGTGCTAAATAGGCCAAGATGCCTTCTCCAGAGCTTTCAGGGAGCAGCTTGGGTAAAACATAAAACTCTGACTTCATTCCACCTGTCAGCAATTAAATTCGGATTTTTCCAAACTCATCAGCATTGCAGGTCGATTGATCCTGCACTCATAAACTGAGACCAACAGAAATCCCTCTTGGATCCTGTTGTGCTGCAGCCTCTGGGAGCACTCACAGCTCAGGCTTCGGGAGCCCAGCAATGTGAGGGACACTGTCCCAGTTGTGGCCCCCACCAGGCTGTGAGTGACGTGCGCTCCAAGTTGGAGGACACCAAGAGACATGTTGGGAGAGCAAGAACATAATAGAGCAAAGGCAGGGGATGTAACCGTTATTGGAGCACTTCAGGGGAAGCAGCCAAGTACAGTCACCCTGATGCTCGGGGCAGGAAACTAAGGCACTAATGCAGGAAAGAAAACCACATACTGTCCAGCAACCAAAAGGGTCCTGGTAGAGGGTCTCTGAGTGACACAGTGGCAATCTGAGACATTTTGTAAGTTGTCTTTACACACCCTTCCCAGAACCCTACTGCTTCCAGGTTGCTGGCCCCAAAGCCCCATGGAATCAGGCAGTAACGACTCATGAGCAGGAAATCACCAGAGGTACCTGCAGACTGTCCAAAGATGGTTCTGTGGGCGGGCCGAGTCTTCTGCCGAATAACTCACCCAGGTGTGCAGCCAACATCTGTGCCTTCAGACAGCAGGCCGAGGGGAGTTACCGCCGCACGGGGCCTTATCTTTCTAATTACAAACACATGTGCTAACCTTGGGCACTCTGCCAACACGAAAAGCCTGCAAAGGGCCACTCTGTAATACCTAAGTGATTGTCCATCTGGCAAAGCATCTTGGGAATATTTTCATCCTTCTCGTCATCCTCCTGGAGGACTGGAGACATATTCCAGATCACAACCTTCCCAGAATCCTGTCCTGGAACAAAGGGGCAGAAATAACTCAATGCACAGTAGACTATTAACTATGAGACATAGTCCTCACTTAGCTTTCATAAATCATAACTAGATTGGGGGAGACTGAATTTGAATTATGAATATAAGTTACAGGAAAGATTAAGAAAAACAAGTGCTGATGGGGACTCAAAAAGTGTGGATTTAGTACTATGTAGAGGCCAACCTGATTTTATGAAAAGAACTCTAGACCAGAATCAAATGAGGAACAAGTTCTGGTCTGGCCTCTAACACAGATCCACCAGACGCCCCCTAGAAGGTCCTCATTCCTGCCCAGTAACCAAAAGGGTCCTGGTAGAGGGCCTCCAAGTGACACAGGGGCCATCTGAGACATTTCATAAGTTGTCTTTTACACCCTTCCCCCAAACCCTACTGCTGCCAGGTCACTGGCCCCATCTGTAAATGAAGAGGCTGGAAAAGCCTAGGCCCCAACACCCTTTCAGGTCTCTGCATGGGTTTCTCTCCCTTTTCAGGTGCTATCTGCAGTCCATGGCTGTTCTCACATGGGTGCTTTAAGATCCCGGTCTGAAATGTGCCTTAAACACTAGAAAAGGTCCTCATTATCTCACTGGCTCTTTGCCATCAACAGATGAGATGAGAAATCAACCAAAAGAGCCTGTGGTCATAGGCTGATGTAGTATTGGGCTAAAAAATATATCTATGCATTTCAGTAATGATTTCTCTTTCTAAGATTTCCATTACTGGTAACTAACAAAATCCAGCCCCTCATTTAACTTTCTGTTATAGAGGGGCCGATGCTCTATCCACTGAGCCAAAGGGTGTAAACATATTTTTAAATCAGCTCTTCTAGAGTGTGCTATGCCGAGTAGGTCAGGAAGGTGTGCCTCTTCTTGTGGATGAGGAGAAAACTGTCACCCCAGCTAGGTCCACTGGTCCTAGGTGACGCCTGTGGGCACCTCTCGGGTGCAGCCGGCAGCACGCTGGAAGGAGATCAAGGCTTCCCTGTAAGCCCCAGCAGCAGGACGTCTTCAGACAACCTGCTCTGCAGCACTTGCAGACCTGGACCTCACAGGGGCACTCTCCAGTCCTGCCAGGGAGGCCTCAGCCAGAGGGAGACCGTGCTCTGTAGTGCAGCTGCCAGGGACTGGGCTCTGCGGGAATGCTACTTTGTGGGACCATATATACATCTTGGTGTCCTGGCCTCAAAAGTGACTTTGCCTTTCCAGAGTTGTTACTGCAATATTGCAGCAGACAATGGGTAAAACACACCGACAATACCATGGATCATCTTTTCAAATGGTGTGCACATTTGTATTTGCGCTCTAACCCACTTGACTTGCTTTGAGCCTGGTGAATGGGCCTGATAACTACATGACTGACTCCAGAGGTTAACCATCTCCTCCCCCTTTACAGATGAGAAAACACTGCCAGAACCAAAATGAGGACCAAGAGCCCTTGCCTCTGGGGCTGGAGCTTTGTCCAGGAGACTACCTGCCACTTTTCATGCTCAATAAGCTTGGGCTCGGGCATGCAAATTGATTCTAATATCAACCCAATAAACAGAAATTAGAAAGGTAAACCTGCTATAAAATACCTATACAGAGCACACTCTAGTGCCAAAAAAGGATTTTGATGTGACTTGTTCAGACTTAAACTGAGTCACATCTATACTGAAAACAGCAAATATTCTTTCTATAGCTCAATGGTGACCAGGAGAAGCAGAGCTAGGCGCAGGGCTGTGAGCATTCCTGTTATTCCATGAACATACCTTGTCCTCCAGTTGCGAACTTGGTCCCGTCAGGGTGAATATCAACTGAAAATATTGGCTTCCCTGGAAACAAAGAAAAAACACACACAACATCGCCTTGGCTTCTATTCATTTAAGAATAGCAACAGACTCAAACTTTTAAAATATTGGTTATTCAAACAATATCCCTAATTACTGATCCTAGGAAAAATACTAGTAATATACTATCATGTACACTCACCTGACAGTGAGGGCGGAGTGATCTAAGTTTTAAAGTATAAACTGCTGGAACACTGTCCAAGTGACATTAACTAGATGAAAGTATAAAAGTGGGACTAAGCAATCCGTCCCTAGAATGACTGAGCCCATAGGTCACCTGGGCATTTACACAGAGGTCTGCTGGATAAGAGCTTGACACCTTCCGGGGATACATGTTTGTAAAGGCTATTCATGACAACAGCTCTGAGTCACAGGGGCTACTAGGATATACTAGTACATCCAGCCATCTCCCCATCCCATGGATCAGCCTGGACACGGGATGCATGCCCTGGCTTTTCTGCTGACTGAGAGCTGGGTAGGGCCAGTGGTTGTCTGCAACACACTGCTTCCCTCATCACACTTCTGCTTCCAAAATGCTTCGCCCCCATACATTTGTGCTGCATCAATGTCCACGGAGAGTCGGCCTTCTCGGCATCTCTTTTTGCTGATCCTCCTTCCATGGTACATGCCCGATGTCCAAATAGCTGTTCACTGGTGAGTGGTAGCTCAGTAATATTTGTTCAGTGACAAACTTAGATGGCGTGACAATGGATTGAGCACGAGCAATTGCTGTTGCCAAAGAGTCTCTTAGTCAAGGATGCTCTATCGCTGTCACCCAAGGAAAGGTGGTATGGGCACTAGGACAAGAGTTACCGGCTCTAGAACTACAAGGTAGCAAGTGTGGGCAGTGGTTGCTTAAGAGCTGGAAGTCTTGCCAGGGCTCACATCCATGTGTGGAAATCAAAAGGCAATGCCAGCACTGGTCCTGGTGGCACCGCTTCCCTCACAGCCCTCACAGTCCAATCAGGCAAGAGCTGCCACAGGCCAGGGAAAATGTGCTCCCTTCTCACTGGTCATTACGTGCTAGTGGGAGACACAGCTGTGCCAAGCCAACAGGAAGCCGGTATAAGCACCCTATTTTGTCTTAGGGAGCAAGTAGAAACCTAGGAAAATTTGAAGATCACACCTCATGCTATTTCATCTCCAGTACTTACTGAATTCCAAAACAACAAAGGCTACCACAACAGGCCATGCTAGCAGCTCTGGCCTGGTCTCTGAGCCCCTTAGTTACTTCCAGGCCCACACCCAAGAGCCAGAGTTCTATAGCGACAGCCAAGTAGCTGCGGACTGCACTCTTGGAGCACTGCAGTGTGCTCAAAGCTGTCCCAAACACATGAAATTGCAGCCCTGGTCTGCTCTGAGCTTTCATTCCAAGAGTTCACAAGACAAGCCCTGACACAGCTTGGTACTGCATGATCTCTGAAGGAGCCAGACACAGCAGTGGAGTGCACTCATGGAGACCTGAAGAGGAAGCCTGCAAGTTATTATTCTCCAATAGCCTGGACAGGGCAGACCTGATCACTCCCACCTTCATCTTTAAGAAAGGACTCCAGAAAACGACTAGACAGAGTAGGCTAAAAAGGCAGGTGCTGAGAACACAGGTAAGGACTGAAAGTGCTCCAACTGGTCTTTCCATGCATGTGCACTCAGGCCCATGCTGGCACACCCACACCCTTCCCGGGCTTGGTGGCTGCCATGTGTGATAAGCCAGAGAGTCCTCACGCTGTGGCTGAGAATGTGCCACCTTTTTCCATAGGCTGAGGGTCTGGGAGGGAAGCAGTTGCAAAAAGGTGGGTTTCTTGACCACCTGGCTGTGAGAAGTGCCTCACAGGTGAGCCTCAAGAAACAAGACAGGACAATTGGGGCTGTGGGCCCAGCCTTGAGTGGTGCAGATGCCACTGCTCCAAAGGCTGTACGAAATGCTGAGACCATGGCTAGTGCTAAGACTGAGGCTTGGAGTATGGCAGACACCAGAGGACAGTGACCAATTAGCACCACTAGGAGCCTTGTGAACTTTAAAAGAGCAGATACCTCTAAGTATAATGAGAACAGCAGCGGGAGCCTAGACCTCATCAGTGCTGCCATCTCCACTTGGAGCCTCCTGGGGCATCTGTGGCAGGCCAGCCCTTAGAGATGCCAGCCAGCCAAGCCTAGGAGAGCCAGAGCCATGCTGGGGGATGTCTATGGAGCGCTGCCTTTCCAAGGCCAGACCCTCACCTCTCCCGCTCATGACATGCTCTCGAGGATCTCAAAACCTGCAGGCAGTCCAGTCCAGGCCATTCTATAAATCTCACCTGGCCCTCTGAGGTAAATACTTCTGACGTCCTCATTTTACCATGAGAGGGAAACTGAGGCATACAGAGATGTTAAAAAAGTTGCCCCAAACCATACAGCTGCCTGGTAGAGTCTAGATATCTGTATCCAGAGCACAAGGCATTAAATACTGTGGTTTTCTGCCTCTCTAGGGGATTAATGTCCAGAACATATAGAGAACTCCTAAAATTCAATGGCAAAAACAGGAAAAAATTCAATTAAAAAATGGGCAAAGGACTTCAACAGACATTTCTTCAAAGAAGACATACAAAATGGCCAACAAGCACATGAAAAAATGCTCAACATCATTAAACTATCAAGGAAATGCAAGTTAAAACCAGAATGAGATGTCATCTCACATTTATTAGGATGGATACTATCAAAAGAAGAAAAAGGAAAAGAACAGTACTGGTGGGATACAGAGAAATTGGAACACTTATCCATTGCTAGTAGGAATGTAAAATGGTGCAGCCACCATGGAAAACAGTATGGTGGTTCCTCAAAAAATTAAAAATAGAATTACCTAGGATCCAGCAATTCCACTTCTGGGTATATAGTCAAAAGAATTAAAAGCAGAGTCTTGAAGACATATTTATACATCCATGTTCACAGCAGCATTATTCACAATAACCAAGAGGGAAAGCAATCAGTGTCCTTTGATGGATAAATGGATAAGCAAGTTGTGGCATATCCATAAAATGGAACATTATTCAGCCTTAAAAAGGGAAATTCAGACATGCCACAACATGGATAAACCTTAAAGACATTATGCTAATTGACATAAGCCAGCCACAAAAGCACAAACACTGTATGAATCCACTTATATGAGGTCTCTAGAGTAATTAAATTCAGAGAGACAGAAGAAGAATAGTGGTTGGGGAATAGGAGCTGGGGAAAGGGAATATGGATTTGTTGCTTATCAGGTATACAGTTTCAGTTTTGGAAGATGAGAAATTTCTGTAGATATTTTACACAACAATGTGAATATACATAACATTACTGAATTATACACTCAAAAGATTAAGATGATAAATGTTATATGTATTTTTAAAAAAATAATATTTTATTGATTTTTTACAGAGTGAAAGGGAGAGGGATAGAGAGCCAGAAACATTGATGAGAGAGAAACATCAATTCAGTTGCCTCCCGCACATTCCCTACTGGGGATGTGCCCGCAACCAAGGTGTATGCCCTTGTCCGGAAACGAACCTGGGACCCTTCAGTCCGCAGGCCAACACTCTATCCACTGAGCCAAACCAGCTAGGGCTATGTTATATGTATTTTACTACAACTTAGAAACTGCTAATCAAAACCAATCCAAACATATATTTATAAGGTAGAGGGGTCTGGAAGGGTGGTAGGTGTGGTTATAGGTGTTGGAACTGCTCAGTGTCTTGACTGTGGTGGTGAATACACAAACCTAGACAGGTAAGATATTGTATAGAACTAAATACCCATCTACACACAAATTAGTACAAATAAAAGTGGGGAAATCTAAGGTCGGTGGATTGTGTCAATGTCAATGTGGTATTATACTATAATTTTGCAAAATGTTACCACTGGGAGAAAATGGGCAAAGCGTAGAAAAGATCCCTCTATTTCTCATTATTTCATTGAATTGCATGTAATTCTACAGTTATCTCAATGAGAAACACACATATACACATGGTCTGTTTTTTAAAAAACCAAATACATATGTTTTGTGTGTGTGTGTGTGTGTAATAACATTAAGGTAATCAAGGTAAACAGCAAACAATCTTGTGCAGGTGATAATGTACATACTCTACAACCAGCAGTCTCTCTGGAGATACTCTTGTACCTAAGCACTCTTAATATGCAGTGCACACCTCTAGCCAGATGCCTACCAGACATCTCATCTTTAACTTCTCCAAGACAGAATCCTGACCTTCACACCCATACCTGCTCTACTGGCTGTCTGCCCATCACAGTTAGGGCCATGCCTTAGACAGAAGAAACCAATAGGCCGGGCACAACAGCCATACTGCCTATGACTTTTCTGGCCTCATCTCCTGGTCCCTTTCCCTCTATTCACTGGTCTAGTGCCCTGGCCTCCTCGCTGTTCCTAGACTGCACCAGGTGTACTCCCACCCAGCGCCCTGCACTGGCTCTTTCCTGAGCCGGAAGCTCTTCTCCCAAATAGTACAGACCATGGCTCCTCCCTTGCCTTCTCCTAGCATTTACTCAATGTTGCCTTCTCACTGAGGCAACTCTAACTATCTGACTTGAAAGTGTTACTTCCTCAACCAGGCACAACCTATCCCGCTAATACTGACCTATTTTTTTCTTAACTAATTTATTACATAGTATATAATTTCCTTTATTGTATCTCTGCTCACCCTGCCCCCCAGAATGCGAACTCCAAGAGCTCCACAATTTTTGTCTGTCTCAGTCATGGAGTCATTCACAGCTGTGGCTTGGTACTTAGCAAGCACCCAATAAATACTTGCTGTTGTTAATTGCTGGAGAAAGTCCACAGCAAAGGCCCAAAATTCAAACACACCTTCACAGTGTCAATAGCATCCCAGTCTTTGGAAGGTAGGCTTCTCATCTACTGAAGTGGGGACACAAATGTCACCGACCACTTCACAGAGCCACCTGCTGCTATTATCTCTACTGCTTTCAACCACAAAAACTTCTCCAGCCTTAAGTAAGCAGCACCACAATGACATCTAATAGGTGTCAGGTGGCCGAGACTCCACACACAGCACAGGAAGGAAGCTGTAGCAATCATGCAACCGTTACCCCTCCCCCTCC